GAGGAAGACCCCCAGGTGCCCCTCCGGGCATTATTTCAAGGCACCGAGCGGGCACCTGGGTAGAAAACCACCGACCTTCCGTAAGCCAGCTGGATGGCTTCCTCACATGAAAGATTTCGACCCGAGTAAGGATCGAACCTACAGTGGTGAGGGACCTGTGATCTCAAGTCAGCGACTTTAACCACTCGGCCACGGAGGCCCCCTGATAAAATACCCAGGTGATGATTGTTGTTATAAATTCTATGTTGCTATGTTACATTATTTTGTATTGAAACCTGATTAGTCATTTTGTTATTTAAGACACAAAAATGTTAAAATTCTATTGGTCAGTTTAAAACGAAATCAATTTTAGAAATATTGTAAAGATACATGTAGAAAATTTAGGGGCAGTTAGATTTTGGATTTCCAAGTGATAACATTGTATAGTGGCTTTCCACTAGAAATATATAATTGTTACTGTTTTTAATATCAATTTGTTAACATCAGGATAACCTGTGTATATGTTATATATTATTTGTGGTAATCCACTAAGAAAGAAACATTAAAATATAAAACGGAACTTTGTGTTGAGATTCGATCCACCTTCAGTAGAACCAAAAAATCAGCGCATAACAGTACTATATAGCTAGAATATATCAATTTTTTTTGATGTATCGCGTCGCACTTTATGGAATGCGACAGTGTATGTAAAACTTATTTCTCGATCAATTGTTTTGCTGTATTGGAACGGGATATTTACAATATAAAACGATTGCAAAAAAGTATTTTGATAGTGATTATGAATTTTGTATTGTTTTCTTACACCTTTATATAGATTAAAATGTGTTTGTGGGGCAATGTTTGATTGTTTTACTTGTACGCAAAAAAACGGCATTTTTTGGGGTTAAAAAAGGGTACTAAAATTTTCACTTTTAAAGCCTATATTTAAATTCTGCCTTTTTTCCAAATGACAAGTTTCCCTTAAAAACTTTTTTACTTAAGCTTTTAAACATATATAAAAAGATTTTTCCCCTTGGGGGATACTAGATTGTGAATTTTTTTTAAATTAGTTTTTTCATAGCAGTTTTTCTTTCATAGATTCATTGATGGGTAAAAAAAGAAAATAAAAAACTTGAGCGCCGAAGTGATGCCCCTGTGGGACTACAGATTTGCAATCCTTTTTCTTTACTTGCTGAATTTATGAAATGGCTTTTTAAGTTTTAATTTTTTTAACTGTCTGGGAATATCAAGCTAGAAATTTATAAAGTTAGACAGCCATCAGTACACAACCTGTTCAGCATGCATGGAGGTGCAGATTGGCTTGGCTCTATAAAGTTAGTCAGCCACCAGTACATAACCTGTTCAGCATGCATGGAGGTGCAGATTGGCTTGGCTCTATAAAGTTAGTCAGCCATCAGTACACAACCTGTTCAGCATGCATGGTGGTGCAGATTGGCTTCGCTCTATAAAGTTAGTCAGCCATCAGTACACAACCTGTTCAGCATGCATGGTGGTGCAGATTGGCTTGGCTCTATAAAGTTTTCAGCCATCAGTACACAACCTGTTCAGCATGCATGGTGGTGCAGATTGGCTTGGCTCTATAAAGTTAGTCAGCCATCAGTACACAACCTGTTCAGCATGCATGGTGGTGCAGATTGGCTTCGCTCTATAAAGTTAGTCAGCCATCAGTACACAACCTGTTCAGCATGCATGGTGGTGCAGATTGGCTTGGCTCTATAAAGTTAGTCAGCCATCAGTACACAACCTGTTCAGCATGCATGGTGGTGCAGATTGGCTTCGCTCTATAAAGTTAGTCAGCCATCAGTACACAACCTGTTCAGCATGCATGGTGGTGGCAGATTGGCTTGGCTCTATAAAGTTAGTCAGCCATCAGTACACAACCTGTTCAGCATGCATGGTGGTGCAGATTGGCTTCGCTCTATAAAGTTAGTCAGCCATCAGTACACATAACCTGTTCAGCATGCATGGAGGTGCAGATTGGCTTGGCTCTATAAAGTTAGTCAGCCATCAGTACATAACCTGTTCAGCATGCATGGAGGTGCAGATTGGCTTGGCTCTATAAAGTTAGTCAGCCATCAGTACACAACCTGTTCAGCATGCATGGAGGTGCAGATTGGCTTGGCTCTATAAAGTTAGTCAGCCATCAGTACACAACCTGTTCAGCATGCATGGTGGTGCAGATTGGCTTCGCTCTATAAAAGTTAGTCAGCCATCAGTACACAGACCTGTTCAGCATGCATGGAGGTGAAGATTGGCTTGGCTCTATAAAGTTAGTCAGCCATCAGTACATAACCTGTTCAGCATGCATGGTGGTGCAGATTGGCTTCGCTCTATAAAGTTAGTCAGCCATCAGTACACAACCTGTTCAGCATGCATGGTGGTGCAGATTGGCTTCGCTCTATAAAGTTAGTCAGCCATCAGTACATAACCTGTTCAGCATGCATGGAGGTGCAGATTGGCTTGGCTCTATAAAGTTAGTCAGCCATCAGTACACAACCTGTTCAGCATGCATGGTGGTGCAGATTGGCTTCGCTCTATAAAGTTAGTCAGCCACCAGTACACAACCTGTTCAGCATGCATGGATGTGCAGATTGGCTTGGCTCTATAAAGTTAGTCAGCCATCAGTACACAACCTGTTCAGCATGCATGGCGGCGCAGATTGGCTTCGCTCTATAAAGTTAGTCAGCCATCAGTACACAACCTGTTCAGCATGCATGGAGGTGCAGATTGGCTTGGCTCTATAAAGTTAGTCAGCCACCAGTACATAACCTGTTCAGCATGCATGGAGGTGCAGATTGGCTTGGCTCTATAAAGTTAGTCAGCCACCAGTACATAACCTGTTCAGCATGCATGGAGGTGCAGATTGGCTTGGCTCTATAAAGTTAGTCAGCCACCAGTACATAACCTGTTCAGCATGCATGGAGGTGCAGATTGGCTTCGCTCTATAAAGTTAGTCAGCCACCAGTACATAACCTGTTCAGCATGCATGGAGGTGCAGATTGGCTTGGCTCTATAAAGTTAGTCAGCCACCAGTACATAACCTGTTCAGCATGCATGGAGGTGCAGATTGGCTTCGCTCTATAAAGTTAGTCAGCCATCAGTACACAACCTGTTCAGCATGCATGGAGGTGCAGATTGGCTTGGCTCTGTACTAATTATTTCATTTCCATTCCGTCTGGGTAAAAGTGCAGGTTTTTGTTGTTGTTTTTTTTATACATATCTCATATCTACACAAGTATTTTTTATCAAACGCGTCAATTTAATTAATCTAATTAATGGTTGTTGGCTGGGTTGGTTCAAACCCCGGTCAGGTGCTCATTGCTAAGCACTGGTTGGTTTCAGAACGGATTGGATATAGTTTCCAAAAGTATCACACTAAGATAAATCCTGTATAATCTACACAAACTGAACTCCAAATCTTTATAACTATATTTATTATTTTAGGATTACTGTATATTAACTTATTTACTGATAAATATGAAACTGAAACGATACAGTTTGAACAGACATAAATTGTAAAAAAAACTTTAAAAATATTTATCATAATCCCTATTGTCTTTAGTCTCTTAAGGTCTTCCCTTATCGTAGATCATTAATTTGTTTATGTCACGGTACAAGTTATGTTCGTGGCAGTCATGGCACGAAACGTATTGCACCATGGGATTTTGGACACTTTAAGATCCTGTGACACATTTTTTTATGTTTTTATATCATAAATATAATGCTCAAATGAAGATCAAATTTATCAATATTGTAAGTTCCAAAAAACCTTATTTGTAAAGATATTACTGAATATTACATTTCATGTTAATTAAGGGAGGTAATTAGAAATTTATTTTCTATAAAGTCTAAGTCATTTTTTTTTCAATAAGAAATGAATACATATATTTTAATCGTTACATGTGGACAAATATTTGCAGTACATATTTTACATATTCTTCGATGTTTGAAAATTGTTTTAGAAACATAATTATATATACAAATATAAAATTTCACTTCAGTGTGGTAACTACCTTAATTACAACATATACAGGATCTTCTTATCGGACATTAATTGGTGTATAATTATGAACAAATTCGCGACTTAATGTCAACAGGTAGACATTTTTTCCTTTTGGTTTCTACAGCCATAATAATAAGTATATAAATAATGTACTGTTTTCTTTTATATCTATAAATTTACTCCGCTTCTGGCATGAAATTTCTAGTAACTGTTGTTTACATGTTTAGTTTCTTAGTGTAGGTTAGAGCGCAATACCGTATCCGTTCTGTGTATTCATACGTCCCTACCCGGAGTTTGAAGGAAATAATGCTTATTAGTGACAGATCAATCATTTCCTGAAAAAAATATCGTAATATCTACTTATCTAGGTATTTTTCCTGATATGCATGAGTTTTTGTTTGTTTGTTTGATTGGGTTTTACGTCACACCAACACAGCATAGGCCATATGGCGACGGCGGAGGAAGACCTCAGATGCCCTTCCGTGCATTATTTTCAGGCACGAACGGGCACCTGAGTAGAACCACTGACGTTCTGTAAGCTAACTGGATAGCTTCCTCACATGAAAGAGTTGGTAAATTTTTGTTGATTTTAGATATTTATCATTAAAATCTTTATGGTACTACATGTTTTTATAGAATAAAGAAACCATTTTAAACTGATGAAAGATATACAATGTATACATGTTTATTTGTTTCACTGCTACAAGTTTGATCAAAATCATCACTATTTTTCAAACCACACAGCAAACGTTTCCATTAAAGTCCAGTGTATATTTATAATACACTTTGACTCTTAAAATATTTTCAATTATACGGGGTGCTCTACCTTACATAATGTATAAGCTTGTACATACATATTTTGTTCACTGTAATCCATTCAAAAGTTTTACATGCCATTTCAGCTTTTACTTTGAAGGACAATATACCACTAGTTATTAAAATTATATTTTCCCTGTCGCTATATTTATGTTTATTCTTAATACAAACTTTAAGTTCACAAATGTGAATGGAATTAATCAGATTTAAATAAGGAATATATAAAACATATCGACGTTGCTATGTTGTATGTACAGTTTCTTCTAATTATATTTCCCAATCTGCGTTTCATTAAAATGATCTTTACTTAAAATGATCTTTATTTAAAATGTTTTTATTTCAAATTGATAACTTTTATTACAATGAGAAGATTAGTTTATTTTTTTCGTCACTTTTAGTAGCAAATAATTTATAAATGTGAAACAAAATATCAATGTATTCCATTACTTTATTTTATTAAAAAGCATATTGTCGGTTATAAATTGATTCGAAGTATGTATATCTTATTAGCGGTTTTGTTTAAAACCCAAGTTCAATTTGCAGTGCAAATGACTTCTAATTTTTGCAACATGTGACAATGTATGGTTTTATTTCAATAAACGACGATGAATACTGATAATTTTCAATTCACAAATTCTGAATATTTTCTGAACGCAAAAATGTTGGTTTGTATCGTGTGTGTGCGTGCGTTTGTGTGTAATTTGTTTCAGATTCGGTTTTCGGTTACAAATGTCTATATTTCATAACAAAAGTAAAAGGAAAAACGCCTTGACAAATTACCAACACATTTTACAACCAGATTCTTTATAGATCTATTATTTTCAGCAAATATTTTGACGAGTTTTACAAGGCGGCTCTTTATCACTTCATAGTGAGTGCAATATGCGCCGCATTGTTCGCTCTTGGTTTGGAATATTCCCGAGGTGAAGATGGGGATGATGTGGTAGATTACTACATTCCATCTATTGTACTCTCCGCTATTGTAAGTATCTATTCAAAATTATTTCTAATTGTTACTGGTGTGCCTCTTTACATCTGTCTTTTTTTTTATTTCTAAACGAACTTACACCAAATCAATCCAATAGAATAAAATTATGATAGAAATACATAAAGTATCTATTTGGACTATTCACAAAAATGTTAATCATTGTATATTTTAGATTACGTATATCAAGAAGAAAACGATTTTCTACCATGAAGTAACTCACCGAAGGACTTTAATAACTTTCACTGGAATTGCGAAAGTCAAATCTGGTGTTCCTTGACAATGAACCAAACAACATGTGATTCTGTTTGCCTTTTACTTAATTACCGTTTTAAGCCTTACTATGAATTATTTACCTATTTTTTTCAGAGTAGACAAAGTAAATTAATTCGATTACTAATCAACATAAACTTTCGTTTATGTATTGTATTTTTTTTAATATACATGTACTTTGCAAAATTGATTTTACGGTTAAATAACATGCTTCTACGAGGAATATAAGGTTCCATGGTAGAACCTTTACTTCGGGTGTTACAGGTTTAATCCTTTTCTTAACGAGATTGCCTTTTTCTTTAAGCAAGAAGATTACCAACAAATGCTACATTTCACCGAGGTTAGAATTCTGGTTAAACGGGCAACTAATGAGCACTAATTCTCTGTGACTCTGAATATTGGTTGACCTAGGAGTGAGAAACTGCTAATGTATAGATATGATGTTTAAGAGTAGCAGGCCGAAAACATGCCCCATGTATGACTTAGATTATAAAATTATTTATTTTTCTTGGTTTATTTTGGTTTTGTGGTATTTTGCATAAACTTAATCGATACATTTCAGCAATGTTCACTGTCAATTGTCTCTATATTGTTGTTTGCGTTAACGAGGGGATGTCCAGCTGCTGTAGGAACATTTGGAAGCAAGACTGAAAAACACTATCAAAGATTGGTAACGATATTTTCATATCAAACCTTTATAGCAACTAGATATTGGATATTGATAAGTTATCAACAGTTCTTGATAAAACATTGCAGGAAAACTCATTATGAACTTACAAAAACGGGTATGAAATAAAAAAAAATTATAATCAATACTACATCTGTTATTCCAAAAAATCATTTTTTGAATATGCTTAAAGTCTTGTAACCGGTAAAAGAACTAATGTTCAAATCACCACAAAACATGCAATAGATGAAATGTAATGCTTATTGTTTGTTTTTACTTCAGAAAACCGCTCATGGTTTATTTACAATATTAAGTTTCGCATGGGGTTTTGTCGGATCTATCATGGCAGCAGTTTCGGGAATATGTAAGAAACAGGACAAATGCTCGTATGCAGTAAACATTGGAATTAATCGTGCACTAGCTATAATAATTATTGTTATGCACGTACTGAACGTAGCTGTGTCGTATATCACGATTTCTACATCGCGTTCTAAATCGAGAACAACACCATTTGTCGCCACGAGTAGTAAAAAAGAAACAGTAATGTCAGTCAATGAAACAGCTTCCCAAAAGTCGAAATTATTACAGAACAATGAGATTGAGCTTACACAACATAAGAAAGTTTCACAAGGTGTGGAGAAGCCTCGGCTTTTAACAAGGCGGCATAGTTTAGAAATGTTACCTAGACCACACAAAAAAGGTACAAAAGATGAATATTATGATGATTCCCTGCTTAGTAACAAAATAAACAGTCGTCCTAGAATCAGTGATATTCCTCCTGTTGAACCAAAACCTCTTCCGAAAAAGAATAAAAATCTTTTGTTTTCGGCTGTTGGTAAAGTCGTTTTTCAATATGCTGCTCAAAAGAATAAACACGCTGGAGACGTCAACTATCAAGAACCACGTGTGCCGTCTGTTTCTCCGCCCCCTTACAATGACGTAACTGCCGTCGATGCGGACTATAACCCATATTGGCTTCCTCCTATACCGACGGACAACCAAGAAATGAGTAGGTTACCAGACAACATGTACATTGGAAACGCATATCCTGATACTGAAATTGTGGCAATACAGCCCAGTGAAATCTCCAGACGTTGACCAGTTATTTTTGTTGCACAATGTCGTTAAATTGTCTACTAGAATGTACACCGGAAATGCTGAATCTAAACTTGTGGTAATACCTGCCAGTGAAATTTCCAAACGCTGACCATGCTTTGTTATGATGATATAAAAGTGTATCATTTCGTTAATGTAAGAATATAAAATAATTTAATGAAGTACACTGACAGAAGAACTCCCTATCTCAAACGCTCTATATCAAGTCGTTTGTGTAGCTTTTAATTTATGGCCGAAATAAACGTAGATTTACAATTTGCCTTTAATAATTGTTTTGAAAGTGACCTTAACAAAAATAGTTTGTTTTTCACGTCAATCAGCATGTTTTGCAAAATGAGTTACCATAAATTTATTAAATATTACTTTTATAACATAGATCAATGTAAGCGTTATGTGATTATCTGTGTTGTTACGTATGTTGCTGCTGCAGTTGATTGATATTAGTGCCCGTCTACACCTATCCAAGTCTTGAATGCAAGTATCATATTCTCTTGAATTGGATAGTGTAGACACCCTACTTGAATGGTTTTTAACGAGAAATTATGTGACATCCATGAAGATAATTTCTTGCAAGAAAGTTAGAACACGTTCTATTTTTCTACAAGTTTTTGGCTGTCAAGACACTGATAACACCGGTTTGACACAAAACATGTGCCCGAAAGTTTGATAGTGCTGTTATTTTTATTATTTTCTGACTTTTTGTTGTTGATTCAGTGTACATGTCCTTTGAATTTCAGTAAATGATTACAATGTCTTGGTCAAAGGAACAAATCAATACGCTGATACACAGAAGAGCAAAAAAATAAAATAAATAAAAATAAATACATCGTAAAAAATGAAAAAGAGCTCTTTTTCAAGTAGAGTCAAAATGGATTTAAAATGATCTTGTTCATTTAGTGAATAACTTTCATCGAATAAAGAATTTGCATCAAAATAAATTTTTGTCACATTTTTTCAATTTTACTCCATTCTGTTTTAGCTAATTGCATCATTTTCCCGCTTTTTTCACATATTTTACAGAAACATGATAGTCTTGCAAAGACAAAGGTATAAATCCTGGGCTATCTTAATAAGACATTTCAGTAAAAATTGTGCCTGAAAAAATGTTGAAAGGGCCATTTATTTAGCTTATCTAAATGTGACATGTAAGAAACTTGAATAGGTGTAGACGCGGCCTTAGAAGTATTAGAATATTAAGGAATCTTCAAGTTTCTTACGCTCTTTAATTACCCGCATGTATACATCCACTGCTGTGCGTGTAGCGGAGTGAAATTTCCTATTCCAGACAATTCAAAATGATAATACTATGATAAAACAATTCGTGAAATGTGCCTTCTTAAATTGTTTCTAAAGATTTATAAATGTTGTCTCATTGACGGGTCTTATTTCAAGTTCTATTCTAAATAGAGAAAGATATATGAAACAACCGAGGAAATGCTGATAATAGAAGCATTAGCAATTTAATTAGAGTTTTCAAAGGAATGTTTCTAAAACCTAACGTAGATTTTCGGAATCAAGTTTAAATGCTTATTAGAACATAAGCTAAGGGCTTATTTATGTATGCTCGGCTTCTCAAACCGTTCTTTATTTTTTGATGAAATTACCAGTTCCTTATGTTTGAAATATAAAAAAACTATCATGTTAACGAATATCGTTTGGCTCCAACGTTCGAGCTAACGCAAGATCATCAAATATAATGTCGAGATCATGTCATAAAAGAAGTACAATGTTGAGATCACTCCCAAAATATTACGAAAAACAAATACAATGTCAAGATCGCACCATAAACAAGTACATTGTCAAGATCGCGCCCTAAACAAATGCTATGTCAAGATCTCGTCCTAAACAAATACCATTACCAAACACAATGTCGAGATGACACCACAAACAAATACAATGTCGACTTCGCGCCACAACAAATACAATGTCAAGATCACACCATAAACACTCCCTAAATATTACCAGAAAAAAAACAAATACAATGTCAAGATCACGCCATTAACAAATACAATGTCGAGATCACGCCATAAATAAAATACAATGTTGAGACCACATCCTAAATATTACGATAAACAAATACAATATCGAAATCACGCCCTAAACAAATACAATGTCGAGATCACACCCTAAACAAAAACAATGTCAGCTAGGATCTCGTCCTAAAAATACGATGTCAAGATCGCGGCCGTACCAAATACAATGTCGATATCAAGCCACAAACAAAACACTGTCGAGATCACGCCATAAACAAATACAATGTCGAGTTCACGTCATAAACAAATACAATGTTGAGATCACTCCCTAAATATTACGATAAACAAATACAATGTCAAGATAGCGTCCTAATCAAAAACAATGTCGAGATCACGCCATAAAACAAAAACATGAAATGTCGAGATCGTGCCCTAAACAAATACAATGTCAAGATCGCGCCCTAAACAAAAATAATGTCAGGATTTCGTCCTAAAAATACGATATCAAGATCGCGGCCGTACCAAATACAATGTCGAGATCAAGCCTAAAACAAAAACAATATCAAGTCACGCCATAAACAAATACAATGTCAAGATCACGCCATAAACACATGCAATGTTGAGACCACTCCCATAAATATTACCATAAAAAACAAATACAATATCAAATTCACGCCCTAAACAAATACAATATTAAGATCACGCCATAAACATATACAATGTCGAGATCACGCTATACACAAATACAATGTTGAGATCACTCCCTAAATAGTAGATAAACAAATAAAATGTCAAAATCGCGCCCTTAACAAATGCTATGTCAAGATCGCGCCTTAAACAAATACGATGTCAAGATAGCGTCACAAACAAATACAATGTCAAGATCACGTAACAAACAAATACAATGTTGAGAACAGTCCCTGAATATTACCAGGAAAAAAACCAAATACAATGTCAAATCGCGCCATAAACAAATACAATGTCAAGATCGCACCCAAAACAAAAACAATGTCAAGATCTCTTCCACCCGCACTGATAAATCTCACGGCATTTAATTACCATTCACAAATAATAAAACTTGCACACTTGCACACACAGACCCAATACAATTTCCGAACCATGACATTAATTACCCAAGAGCAACATTCTTTTTCAATTGAAATATCGACATCACGTCCCAAACCCAGAAAAATGTCATAAATTTACATACAGCAACATCCTAGCTTATTCAAATGAAATATAGATATCACGTCCAAAACTAAGTAAAAGTAAAAATTCTGGAAACATGTCAAACGTGTACGTAATGGATGTCAATAAACATCAGAAAGTTATGTTTTTTATATTAGCATCCATTTATATTATTGGAGTGTTCTAATTATTAAACATTTATATAAATGAAGTTGAAAAACATTCCGCCCGCAAAAGAAATATGTCATGTACAAAATTTTACTTTTTTTATCATGCTTTGTCTTAATTAAGAGGCCGTTTCATTAAGCAAAGATTTTTGGTGTTTCCTTTGCGCGGTCGCTTAATACACGTTTAACTGTAAATGATATGTTTTTTTGAAAACAGAACAGCGTATTGATTTTAATAAGAACTAATTTTAATTCTGTATTGTAAATCTTCAGACGTAGATCAATGTATTACTGTTATAATACACTTCACATGGTCTTAAATTTGTTAACAGATTAAATATTTTGTTCCAGCTTTACAAAAGTTTAGAAACCAATTCTAAATGGAGTAACAAGCTTAAAGTAATACTGTGGAAATATGTTGTAAGTAGAAACATATATATGTATTCCATTGTATATGTTAAATATTGCTCAATAATACTCTGGAGTTATTTATGTTATTTATTTATTTTCTAGTATTAATTAAAACGAACATGCTGTCCTTTTTTTCTATCGTGCCGAACCTTAAACAAATACACCTTTAATTAATACTTTTGGTGTTCGAATTTTTGTAAAACAGCTTCTCAACATTCAAAACCTAATTTGTCTCTGTTTTACTTTCGTTTGGGATATTATTTGTTGTTAAATCTTAGATACCGCAGGAAGACACATATATAGTCGAATCGTATTAATATTGTACATTGTAACATTCAGACATCAACATGTGTTGACCAATAAAAATATCAGATAACCACATTCGTACACAGATCCTTTCTTGGTCGTACACGTACAGATATTTATATTTTTTCATTTTATTTTCATTCCAGAAATATTCTTTAGAATTTATCCTGTCCTAATAAAAACAAGCTTTGTTTATCACAGTCTTCACTTGTTTAGAAATACATGTATAAGATTATCCTTAGTAAAAGAGTTGTGGATGTTGACACTGTACATATGAAACGTAAAATTTGAGTCTTAAATATTGCATTTATATTGTCACAGCCGCACGCTGGAAAAATTAATGTTTAATTGTGAGAATATTATTATTTAATACATGTTATAGTCTGTTTAATTCACATTCGTTTAATTACAGCACGTACTTCACGGAGTTTTACAAGCAGGCGGTTTACCATTTTATGGTCAGTGCAGGATGTGCGGTATTGTTCGCCCTCGGTCTTCATTACTCTCAGGGATCAAATGGTGACAGTAGTCTGCCTTACTTTGTACCTGCTATTGTTCTCTCTACCTTTGTAAGTTATCATAAATAAAGAAAGGATTAAAAATAGTTTAAAAAGTACACATGTATTATTTAACATAAATATTATATGTTATTTTGGTTTTGGAGTGATATATGTGGATATATTACCTGTTAAGATTTTATATCACCCGAGCCGCTAGGCGAGGGTGATATTTTATCTTGGTAGGTAATATATAGTTATATAACATGTAAAAGAACATGTACGTACGTTAAAGGACATTTAACGAATTTAGAAAAGGCGTTCTTATATTACAATACTGACTTACTGCAAGAAAGTAATAACGTTTAATTATTGTAAAATGCACGAGTTCAGATATTTCCGTCTTATAAAAATGCGGATGGTAATTATGCTACAATATAATATTAAACATGTATAACTGCGGATTGTTAGCATAATTCTTATCGTGTCTTTGATTCGCAATACATTTTTAAGTTTGTTTGTTTGTTTTGGGGTTTTACGTCACATCGACACAGTAAATAGGTCATATCGCGACGTTCCAGCTTTACTGGTGAAATTTTTAAGTATTAAGTTTTCACGATTATGAAAATTAAAAACTGCAATTGGCAAATAATATCTGGAGCCTACTGTACATGTTTAGATTGTTATACGTTGTACAATGTTCATCTCGTGCGCAGTTTGTAACATACAGTACATGGACAACTATTCATTGGCTTTATTTTTTATATTTAACATGTTACCTTCATAAAAAAAGAAGTCGTGTTATAATAGTCAATACATTATTTTATATGTATATTCCAGCATTTTATGTCGACGATTGTAGCATTCCTGTCATATTACTTCGCCAGGTCATTATCAGACATCTACGATACTCTCAGACGCTGGGATAATTCAGAAAAACATTTCAGAAGACTGGTATTCAAAAATATGTTTTCAATTTTGATCGTAAACAAACGCAAATTGCAGTCAATGTTAACACGTTTTAACTGGAATTGAAAATAATGTTTCCAATACCATGTAATATATTTGGTAATAAGAGATTCTTGCTAATTCGTAACAAATACTATCTAATTAAAGTTATAAGAAGGCCTCTCTCTTTATGTTATGCTAACACAATTTAAGATATATTATTCTGAATTTTAGAAAGCTTTCTACCTAATCCTGCAGTACATTTCCTTCATATGGAGCATCGTTGGTGCATCGATGGCTGGTAATAGTGGAGTGTGTGGTAACAAGGAAAACCCATGCTACTATACAGTTAACAAATGGGAGAACAGGACAATCGCTATCGTCATTGTGGTCAGTCATGTTATCAACGCTGTAATAACATTTATCATCTGCTCAACAAGGCACAAAATAAGACCTGAAAATGATGTCACTTCCTTGAATATAAAACGGAAGAAAATTGACACAACTCAAGATCTGGTCCTGTCTTCAAAGCCACCAAACTTCAAACTTAAATTGAATACTCATGATTCATTGGCACAAACACAGACTAGTAAAACTAATTCGTCTCCCAAAAAACCCAAACCATTAAAGAAAATAAGCATTATAAGTAATGGACTTACATTAAATGAAAACAAAGAATGTAAACGAAACAACTTGCTTCCACCTTTGAAAGAACCGTTGAAACGACATCGAACAGTACATGGCGGTCCACTCAGTGCAGCAGACGACACATATGACCACAATATTGTCACTCTAGAAAAGTTAAATAGAAATAGAAGTGAAACAAAACGTTTTCTGAAAAACAGAAACACGTCTCTCATACAAACAGAAAACGGAGCGTTATACAGCGGTTCTGATGATCTAAGTCATACTTGTAATGAATCGATGATAAAAAGTCGTTCAAACAGAAATAAAGAGAATATTAATTTAATCCGGAGGATGAGTCAACATCCAAATGAACCTCCTCCATCTTACAACCAAGTTATAGAATCTAGAGACACCACTCCATACTGGATTCCACCAGAACCACAACACAATGAAAGATTGCACTATCTTCCAGAAAATATGTACACCGGAAATTCTTATCCGGACACAGACATTGTCCCAATACAGCCACTGAAAGTGTCAAAAACTAAATGACAAAAATTAATATAAAGGATTCAAACGATACCAAAAGCTTGACAGTAAATAGTTATATAATTGTATTTGCATCTTAGTGATGTCACAATGACATAAATTTAAAAGTTGCTTTCGTATAATACATGTATTAATTGATAGCTCACTACAATCTAAACGTTACATCATTGATAAGGCACTACATCCGACAAATGTTAACGTAGTTAAATATCTTGGAGATGACATCATTTCATTACATTTCTCTCTATACATGTATATAATTATATAAATCTCACGGTGGTTTTGAAAGTTGTACTTTACATAAAGGTAATGGTTTAACTTTACTGGACTAAAGTTTAATTAATCCATCTAGAGCAATACATTATAGCAAACCATTGTATACTACTCAAAGTTTGAGAAGCACCGAGAGTATTTTTGTTACTTAGGTTGTACGTAAAATATTAGATTTATTTCTGTTCTTATAATATGACATAGTGATTTATAAACATCATTAAGGAATTTGTTACCAATTGTAATGTGTTTTCATGTTGATTTGTTTTGATTTTAATGAAATTGTGTTTTAGACGGATATGGTGGAATTTGTGAAAAACTCATATTTGCCCCGAAAAATCTTTGCTTATCACTGATTTTGCTTTAATAGCAAGTATGTGACCCAGTGTTGTCAATGACCGTCGTTGTATACACCCTATCAGGTTTCTTAGGGCGGCTTGTGGGATAGTATTCCACTCGACAAGGGCGGCACCAAGCTCCTGAGTGCTTTTTGGCTGGACCTGACGGGCTGAAATACGGACCTGTAGCTCACTCCATAAATGCTCAATGGGGTTAAGATCCTGGGATCGGGCCAGTCAGTCCAAACAAGTAATACCCTGTCTTTCCGAGTACTCTTGGAGACATTGGCTGTATGGGGGAGGGCATTATCATCCATCAAAATGAACCCATTACCAATTGCACCTCAGCATACAACATTACCTTGGTGTTCAGGATCTCATCTCGATACCGCTTGGCAGTCAATGTGCCTCTGTCGAGGTCAATGAGGTCAGTATGTCAATCCCAGCTGATTCCACACCAGACAATTATTGATCCGCCGCCATACAGGTCGTGTTCCGCAAGGTTTGCTGTATGGAACCGTTCCCCTAACCTTCGCAATACTCTAGCACGCCTATCAGTGTAGTCAAGGCAGAACCTTGACTCGTCGATGAAGAGGACAGGTCACAAGTCCATCCTGCTCCAACCAACATGGCCCATGGCCCAATCATATCGGAGACCGCAGTGGTTTTTTGTTAGACAGCGGGATCCGTATACATAGTCTTCTCTTTCATGCAAACATGTACGCATGGTTGGTGTTGACACACGCACTCCTGAAGCATTTTGAAGGTCAGAACGAATTAAGTTGAGTAGCAGTTGCAAAACGATTTCTTCGTGCCTAGATGACCAGAAAACGATCCTCAGCCTCAGTAGTCACCCTTGTTGTGCAACCACCATGTCGTCTAACAGGTGTACCATGCTGTTGGAACCTCGCCCAGTCTCGGGTGATAACCGTATGGTCCACACCAAACACCTCACGATGTCGACCCCCTGTTCCACCATATCAACATCCCGCCACAACACTGCTTCTGATAAATGCCTGCTAACATTTGCATTCGCCATTATTCAATCTGCCACATGTACATGACAATATGAAATGTTCGGGGTTATAATCCGTAATTGCTCTGTTGTGTTTTTCACTCCTCTCCCAACATTAATTCAATATCTATTTGTCTTTTCATTCATATTAACACTTTAAATATTCTTGAGGGACATTTAAGTTACGTATTAAAACGTTCTTCGACAGTGATTTAGCTGATAAGTGAGACTAAAAATTTATTTAATAGTCATCATTGAGAATAAAGCGTAAAACCGGAAAATCAAAGGTGTCCGATGTCCGATTTTTTGTGTCGATTGTAAATCGACACAAAGGTATAACCACCCATCTACCGGACTATTTCTTACTGCCAACCGAATTTCGTTGACAAAAAAAATAGTTCCGTATGTTCGGTTACAAGTTAGAAAATCCATTCATGCATTGAATATAGAAGGGGTTGTCATACATTTATAATTGTATTAAAGTATTGAAAATTAAAAATTACAATTTAGTTTAAATTTGTACTGTACGCAGAAATTATATAAATGCGCGAGTGGATCACGTGATTGGCTCTTCAACGACGCCATTTTTATTCAAGCAGATTGAAATGCAGTTTCGACTTCGTTATTTGACACAAATATCAGGCTATTTTGAAGAAATTGTAAGTATCGGATACTCTTACAGCGATTTTGACTAATAAACAAAATAAATTGTCCCAGAATGAGCAAAGTGTGCGAAGCGTCGTTAATAATTATAAACCAGTCCATGAGCTAAAAATAGCACAGCTGGGAAACCCAAGTTATGACCTCGGATTAAGGTGATTCTGCTTTGTCAGCCATGTTTGTTTTCACAAAGTCTGTTCAAAGTGAAAGTAGGCCAAAATTCATATAACAACAAAGCTCTTATTCTAAAATGATGAACCATTTGAAAGTACACTTCCAGGTTTATATTGTAAGGACAATTATAAACAAAAATAAAAATGATAACAATAAGAATATTTACCTTGGATGTGCTACATTTCTGAAGACCAAAAACATTCTGTTGCAAAGTTTTATGCACATTTCATGAATGGCAAAATCCTTTTTTAAGTCTGTTTTAGTGCCTACAAAAGCTATTTTTTGCAGCAAATACAAAAATCTTTCAAAACTTAACTCCAAATAAATCCATATCTCATGTCCTTCTTAGCACATGGCCTCCGTTATTTTTTGTAAAAAAGTAGTGCAATAAAACAATCATCATTTATAGCCTTATGAACTACAATTAAAATGAAAACGCAATCAAACTTTAAAATCTAACCTTTTTTATGTGTAACAGTGAAGTGTGTCTGTTTGTCATGTACACAAGAGATAGATAAATGATGTTTATTTTCATGGTACTACTTTTTTACACATGTCATGGTGGCCATGTTTTTTCAAGGTCAGATAAACTACTTTCCTAAGGTTTATATTTTTTAAAGTTTTTTTGTATTTTCTGCAAAAAGTAGCTTTTGTAGGCACTAAAACAGACTTTAAAAAGGATTTTGCCATTCATGAAATGTGCATAAAACTTTGCAACAGAATGTTTTTGGTCTTCAGAAATGTAGCACATTCAAGGTAATTTTTCTTATTGTTATCATTTTTATTTTTGTTTAAAATAGTCTTTAAAACATAGAACTGGAAGTGTACTTGCAAATGGCTCATCATATAACAATGTGAGCTTTGTTGTTATATGAATTTAGGCCTACTTTCACTTTGGACCCACATAGTGAAAACAAAAATGGCTGACAAAGCAGAATCACCTTAAATTACGGTCTTGTAAACAATTTCAGAGATTTGTGAGTAGTTTATTGATTTGCGCTTCGAATTTGCGGATAATTTTTTGGCAGTTTTACTTCAATTTTCATACGTGCATGCACGCACCTAGTTGTAATTTCATGCGTGATTTTTGTAAATTACAGAATACAGTATACGGAATTCACATTTGTGCGTGAATGGGAACACTGACTATCATTTAGTTTTTTACCATCTGATTCATTTTTATAAAAATATCTAAAAGGTCTATTTTATGTATGTGATGTATATATATCATGTGTAATCATTTTTTTATTGTAGCTGTTTTATCTTTGTTGATCTTATACTTTATGTTATATACAGTCGGTTATAAAAGCTCCTAGAGCTTATGTTGTACTGTTGAAAACTTGCCGACTTGAAACAAAACTTATCTTATCAATGTGTACGAAGAGGTATAAGATAACTGTAAACCAACTCGGTCCGCAACAAAAAAGAAATCACTTTAGATTGTTTAGTTGATGAACATCCAGCGGTAGATCACATATACTAAAAATAATTGAAAAGATCTGTATGTTTTATTATCTTTGTTAAGATGAGATGTTGTGATTTATACAACAGGGTCAGGGACCATCAACCGCGGACACTTTTTGAACATTTTTCTGTACAGGTTTCATAAGTTTTAACCTAGAGACCAAAAAAATTGACAAGGTTCAGCTAGGTTCTTCCCCTAACTAACAAACTTGTTTGTCTGATTGTATTGACACTTATATCTGAGGCTCGACAAGGAGGTATCAAAATTACCTCAAATGTCTACACTACAGCACCATGTGTCCGGACATTTATGTACATGACGTTATTTAATTCAGATAACAGCTTGGGTGTTTTAATTTTTAACATGATAGACAATGATTCAGACAATGATTCAGAAACAAATGCTGAAGTTTTGGAAATTCTATTGTTTACTCTGCAAATGATTATAGATGGTATATGAGGTCAGGCATTGTTTTCTTGACCCCCCAAATTTCAACGTCAACATTCTTGAAATAGCCATTAAAATTATATTACCATTTACGGTGGTTGAAATAAATTTATTTATTTATTTTTAGAAGAAACATGCATTTATTGTTGATAAAAAAAGTGACAACCACTGAAGAAAGAAAATACTAAATTAAGCATTTTCAGGGCCGTCCGGGTTTGGTGGTTGTCCGGTTTTGGTAGTCCCCAACCAGTAGCTTAAACATTTATGAACTGTAAATTCTTCCCTCACACACTTTCATCAATAACAATTTCAATTAGAAAAGGTATATAAATTATGACATGAAAACGTAAAACAATGAAAGGTATGAACACATGAAACAAAGATAATTCAACATAGAGCAACAAAACTAGTTTCACTGAGGAATACCGTACCGCAGGTAAGGCCCCCACGGTTACACTTTTAAACGGATTTGTTTCGATTTTCATTCATAAACGGTTATGATATTTTTTACCGTTTATTCGAGATGACCATATTGTCTTACAAATTATCTTAATAATTTCCTGTAATAATGGATTTTATCTATACTTATTGGTTTATCAAAGTAAAAAATGGAAAATGGGTGTTTACAACCCGGACCACACACCATCACCGTGCAATAATCGCTTGTGACATAATTCATTTTTGTTAAAGTTGATTTTTCTTTGATCTTTTAAATAACGAAATGCGGATACAATGCAGAAAATGTGTGCCGCCTAAATCGTGATGAGCACTGAACATTATTTACTTGTATAGAAGTAAGTCATCAATTTGGCGACTTGAATACATGGTATAGTATAGTGCATAGAAGTAACCACCGTTTAACATTATCGATTCGGTTCTAGCAATCATGTAAAAAATTGTAAACGTGGGAGCCTTTACCGCCGGATATTGCTCGATATTAAGAGGACTTTCATCCCATTTCAAGACTATGAACAAAGGTAAATTCAAGGTAAACTTTCAATCTGACAACAATAAAAATTTCAGATAACAGTGCATTTTGAGAATAAATAAACATGTAAAGTTTACCGAGTATTGCTTTGGAGTTGCTCGCCGGTGTCACTAGTATGCTTTTTAATGTAACGAGTATTGGTTATTAATATCAAGTAAATGTGAGAAGTAATCACAGAGTATTTACCACATTTAACCTTAAATATTTCTTATTGTCACAATGTGTATACTTATTGACATATGTGCAGAATATGCAGATTTTGGAGGTACTGTACTGAATAATACATACCCAGCAAACATGCATATATGGGACCCATATGGCTATATCTAGGCAAGCTAATGGGTATGCCCATATTGGACCTATATGGATCCAATATTGGCAAGTCCATTTGGGTACGCCTATATATTAGACCCATATGGCCGGGTACCATATTCCAGCACTTTAAGGAAAAAACAATTTTTCTTTTATTTATTTCTTTAGAACTCGTTTACTTTGAGCTATAGTGTGACCACCTTGGCAATAAATTGCTATTATCCTATATAAAATCGTAGCATTATTTTAAACATTTATACAAGCCATGAGGGACCCATATGGGTCCCATTTGGGCAACCCTATAAATATTAGGATGCCTGAGCAGGTGCGAGAAATTAATTTGTTAAGTTTTGATATTGGTTTTAATTTTTATTATTTAAATATAAAAATGTGTTTTTAGACTATAAATTCAGAAATAATTTATAAAAATCAGTTTTTGATGAAAACATTTATTTCGAGCATGTGCAGACGTGATTTCCGCTGCCGCTTAAAATCAAATTGTGTATTGAAATGTTTAAATTGTAAAATTGTACACGAAAAAAATATTTCTTTTCGATTCCGAGCATTTAACCACGATTTCGTCATAACGACTTTTCATATTATATCCTTACATGTTTATTGTGTGTGTAGGTAAGCTGTAAACGCTGTTTAGTTTTTGCCTTTGTCATGTAATTTCCAAACAGTCGTTTAATTTGCGACATTTTCTAGAATTTACGCCCTGACTCTTAGGCAATTTAGGTGACCTATGCATGTGTATAGTTGTTATTGTTGAATTACTTAACTGTGACGGAGTCGATACTAACATTTTAAAAATATTGTTTCTATCTAGACTAAATTTTAAGAGATCTCTTTTTAAAGGGACACCATCATTTGAAATCCAGTGTCCCCCCCTAGCCTTAGAAGTCCCTTCCATTTTGTACCAACATTTCATTCATAAGCATTTTAAAAATATTAAATACAAATACTTATTTTTTACAAATTCAAGTATTTTTTTCCAAGTACCAACCAAGCCCTCTAGCTGTTGCACAGGCATGAGTATCGGACCTGAGAAGAAAAAATATGACCTGATAGATAATTAAACCTGTGTTCATCTTAAAAAAATTCGAAAACCAAAAAAAATGTAAATTATGACCCCCTTTAAAAACATACTATAAAGTTAAGAGAAGGCTGGAAACTCTAGATTCGAGCCTACGAGCAAGGGATTCACTACCCAGGCCGTTGTGAAAACAATTGTCCAGACAATTAAAAAAAATCTTTTATCATTATTTCACATTTGTATTAAGCTTCCAAATGAGACCAACTCCAAGTCTCTAGCCCTTCCTGTTCATGAAATAATCCCATCAGGAAACGAGCGCATTCGTGCTAAAAATCCTTGGTAGAAAAAATTGCGGCACAACAATTCGGTACGGTACGTAAACATAGACTAATACATGTTTGTCAGCCGTGTACAGGTCATAATCATATTGTCACTTGGTGCAATAACTCACTTAATGTATATGTATTTTTAACTACTTATTAATGTATATTCATTTTATTGTCGATAGGCCATCAAAAAGGCTGTATGAATCGGATAGTGACACTGATGAGAATGAGACAGACACCGAGAGTAGACCATCACAAGTTATTGACAAAGCAACAACGCCAAACAGGCACGAAGCCTGCTTTCACCTCCGCCTTGCTTATCTGCACAGGCATTGCGAGAGGCCAGCAGTGATGTGCAAAGTGCTTCTCCAATACAAGGTGCTTCTGATACGCCCTCCCGTGGGCAGATTATTGGGCCGAGTAAGTATAAACTTCGGAGCTGTAAATATATTCATTACAGTACATACTTATTAAATGTTCTATCCTCAAAACAAGCCAATAAATGTTGTAACAAGCTGGATTGAGTGACACAGCCATAAATGGAAAGTTTCACCTTATGACGTATAGTTAAAAAAAAATTCAAAAGAAATTGATGATTACTTGTGTTAGTCTTTATCATGATGTGAATTAATGTTCGCCTATTCTTGTCTGACCCCACAACTGTTATCCAAAGTTACTGTCCTTGGAATAGTCAAAAATGTTTATATTCACCCCATGACATGCCTAGCTCAAAAATATTTTAAGTTTAATTCATGTTTTCTTATCATTTTCACATTTTGTGACCTTGCACACTCAACAATCCTTTTGAGATTTTAGCGTTAATAACTGTTTAAGCCAAGGAAAAATTTAAAATACTGGATTTTTTTTCATTTGTAATTCACATAGCTCTAAAAGTATAAAGCCTAGAATTATGAATCCTTTTTTGAAGCTGCTGTTACACAGATTCTCTGAGTCTTGGAGACAATGCGGGAGGAGAATCGTGAAAATAAGAGGATGATGTAGCAATTGTTGTCAAGGTCAGCAGCAGATGACCAACCGCTGCAGCTTCCTGAAGATATCTCATTCCCCATTCGTTCTCCTTAGCAGATGGAAACATTCGATGAGCTTCTGGAAGATCAGACAAAGCTGTCATCTGTGGTAAGCATAGTGTTAGTCATGTTATTTTTGCACCATAAGTAACTGAAAAAAGTATACCTCATATCCACTGGCTTAAATGCGAAATAACATAATGGTCTGTGGTTAGCACTTGATGATAATGTATTATCATTCTGCTATACTTATGTAGGAAAATATTGCACAGTGGACAAACACTTTATTGATAAACTAAATGTAAACAAGTCAACAGGAAATGATGGAATTGGGCCGCGTATTCTTAAAGCCTGTGGTGACTATTTAAGCATAGCTATAGCTTCTATAATAAATAATTCCATTAGAAATGGCATTTTTCCTGATAAACTTAAAGAAGCATATGTACTTCCAATTTACAAAAATGGACCAAAAGAAGATCCAAATAATTATAGACCTATTTCAATTTTGCCAACCATATCAAAAATTTTTGAAAAGCATATTGCATCACAATTACATAGTTATATATACGAAACTAATATTATTCATGAAAGTCAGTCGGGTTTCAGAAAAAACAATTCTTGTCAAACAGCTCTAATACAACTCATAGAATCCTTCCTTAACGATTTAGATGAGGGCTGTTTGATAGGCACAGTATTTTTAGACCTAAAGAAGGCATTTGATTTGGTAGATCACAACATATTGTTGCATAAGTTAAAATTGTACAAATTTTCAAACACCTCAATTAAACTCTTCAAATCATATCTTGAAAATAGAACACAGTTTATCAAATATGGAAATAGTCATTCAAATAGTGGAACAGTGAAATCAGGGGTCCCTCAAGGGTCTATATTAGGCCCTTTACTTTTCATTTTCTACGTTAATGATATGCCATTTAGTACAACACACTCTAACATAGACATGTATGCTGACGATACAACTATGCATGCATCAAATAAAAAAATTGAAGTGATTCAGAGAACTCTGCAATGTGATGTTGATAATATAAGCAAATGGTGTAAATTAAACAACATGGCAATAAATCCGAAAAAGACCAATTGTATGATAATAGGGTCAGAAAATAAATTAAAATCAAAACCTTCTTTAGATATAAATATAGAAGGTACATACCTAAGTCAAACGAAATCACAGAAATTATTAGGTATTTACTTAGATGAAAACTTAAAATGGAATGTTCAAATAAAGCACGTCTGTAATAAATTACAAAAACAAATTGCTCTCTTAAAGCGTATATCGTACTTTTTATCCGCTGAAATGAAAGAAATGTTTTTACAATGCTTATATTTTACCTTGTTTTGATTATTGTTGTATTATATGGAGTACTTGTAATAAAACTGAATTTGAAAAAGTGAATAAACTGCAGAAACGCGCAGCAAAAGATAATATTGTGTAAACCAGTTAAAACGCCTTCTTTACAGCTTTTCCTAAAATTAAACTGGTTAACTTTCGAAAATAGATGCACGTATCATACAGCATTATTAGTATTTAAATCTATACAAGGATTGACTCCTTCCTACATTTCAGATATCATAGTGTTTTCGAAAAATCAAACGTATACACTTAGATCAACTACAAATAGAAACATAATACATGTAAGATCTAATACGAAATATGTTAAAAGAACTTTTAGAAAATAATGCAATGCAAGTATGGAATAATTTACCTTTATATATTAAAGAGTCTTCGTCTCTATATGCTTTTAAAAGAAATATGAAAAAATATTTGATTGATATACAATTTAAATGAATCTGATGTATGCATGTGTCTGTCAATTTGAATGGTTGTTGTTTATGTTGTTTTTAATGTGTGTACATATTTGTGACTTTCATTATCTTGTTTAATTGAAGGCCATATTGTAAATAAGATTTGTATTTCTTAATATGTTACCTTCATGAAATAAAGTGTTTATTATTATTATTATTATTATTATTATTATTACTGCATTACTTTCGGAATTAAAAACTGGCTTGTTTTAATTTTTTGATTCATATTGAAACAGTTATCTTATTATTTAGATATGCTATAATAGCCATGAGCACAAGACATTGGCAGTTGACCTCGTTTTCAACATTGATTATTAAGACAAGACAGTCGATTCATTAATCAAAATGCTGGCAGCTTTTAAAATACCAGGAAAATGACTAGTACCCACAAAATCCAGGAATTGCGCTGTTATAATAATATCAAAAATTATTCTGTTCATACTGTATAAACTTGTGTTAAAAAAACAACAATGATAATGTGCCCAATTACACTTGGTGGAGGGGACAAACAAAAAGGCACAAGTCAATTAGGCTGTAAATATATGAGGAAAGGTCTTTTAATTTGTCAATTCAAACATTTTTCTTGGCAGATCATGTATTTGAGGTCCAGTTGACAATTATTTGTCATTTGGTGACTTGCAGCGCATCACAAATTTTGAAAATTAGTAGTGTTAAAATTAACATTAAAAAAAGTTTATGTTCTGCTTTAATTAAGGTGCGGTTCCTCTCAATGTTTGGTGGGGCAGTTGTGCGGGAAACTGTTGACCGCTAGATGATAGAAACCATGTCAAATGAACTGGCAAGAATGTTCAATATGAAGGGGCTGAAAGGGAAGAAAACATTTGGGGGCCTCTAGATACTGAATGTATTGTATAGTAAGTGATAAATTACGAATTTGCAAAGTGGTGTCTTTAAGTAGGCTTCAAAATAGATATATTATCCAAGATCTTGTTATTGTGTCTTCAGGTATCGCTTTAATGAAAGAAAATGCTTGATTAGCTTTTATGGAAATTAATAAGAGAGAATATTTTACATGCTGTGTGGTTTTGATCCCATGCATTGTGTTGTGATGCATAATATAAGCAGAAATCACCTTCCTGTAAAGCAAGTTATTTGTTTACCTTAACATTCTTTACTGATACACCGATAAGATGATCTCAGCTTACAACTGACTGCAGCGATATCACAGAAATATTGTTAAAAGCTACGTAAAACCGGGACACAAACATCTATATTTGTTAAAACATACTAGAATTAGTTTATATTCCAATTTTATGCTCAAAATGCTACAAGGTGACTTATGACCTTTGAATGGTTTCAATACCTACATTTCACTGCATTTCATTTCATTCATTAAGGATAAGGATGCTTGTTTTATAGAATGTGTCCAAAGGAACTTGCCGACAAAGACTGCAACGAGGAAGGATGTAGAAATAGAGGTTTCAAAGTGGCTGGCTGGGGAGTGGGACCGCGATGGGGGAAGGAAAGCAAGAAACAAAGTGTCCGAGACCTTACCTTAAGCAAATGAAGGAAGTGACTAGACATGTTTTTATTTTTTAAAAATGCAAATCTATAGAGGATACATGTATTTGTTTGTTAGTGTGTAAGATGAAATTTTATATCATCAAGTGAGCTGTAAAAACATTATTCTCACGAGTGAGAACACTGTTATTATATAAAAGTCCCTCAATGATATAAAATTACATCTTACACAACAAACAATAAAGTGTCTTTTTATTTTATGCTAATGAAACTTCCTCAATATTAACTTTAATAATTATTAAATCTGTTTTCCCCACTGTTAACATCAATTTTAGTTGAATTTAAGTCCAATTATTCATAAATAAAGGAGTCTTGGGCTATACAAAAAGTTTGACAATCAATGATTTTATTTATTTTATTAAAAAAATATGAATAATCGCTTGTTTTAATAATAAAAACAACCAATTCTAGAAGAAAAAGTCACACCATCCCACCTTATTTCTGTTACTCAGGCAATATATGTATGACCTGGCTTTGTGAAATGTAAGTGGCGGCCATTTTTAAAAGTTGTGTATTTTAAGGAAAATTAATTTTGTATTCAGAAGAATATTATTTGGATAGGTTAGTCTTGAAACAGTCCTGAGAATGTCAGAATTGTCAGCAAAAATGATATTATTAAGGTACCACATGGGGAAAATCTTAGAAGTAGTCTTGTCATTGAAAAGTTTGAAATTTGGATCATTTTCACTGTAAATTTATCAAATATAATTTTCACGGATACATCAGTAATACACACAAAAGCATAAAATGAATGACTTTTATTTTACATTTTCGAACCTTTTCTTCATCGGCATATAAGTTATTCCAATGATTGAAAGTCAATAGATATCAAAGTATTTTAAAATGTGATAAGGGTCAGAACTACAGTAAGTGGCTCATTTGTGTATCTTGTTATACTTTTTGTTGCTAATTTTAATGTTTGAGGTCATCAGCATAGCATGTCTTTCTTGTAAATACAAAATTCTTTGCCTTCTAGTCAGTTTATTTTGCTGCTATGTAATGTTTGTTGTTGACATTATATGCTGTTTTTCTGTTGTCTATATGCTGTTGTTATTTTTTTTTTCATTAAACATTGTTGCTATTTAAATCAAGACATAAAATGCCTGGGGAATGTTTTTGATACTGATCAATACAATTATAACATCTTGTCCAAACTTAACACTAACAGGGAACACATATATTGATATGGTATTAACCTTTTAAATCAAGTTGAAATACTGTACAATGATGCTTCTTGTAATCTTTATTTTTGTTATTGTTGAAACTTCGATAATATCGGATAAATTACTGAAACAGCTATTTTTACTGACAATTTTTTAAATGAACTTCTTCACAACAAATTTGATCTCGTTAAATCAGTATTATTTCACATTTTTAAAGGAATATATCCATAATTAATTACTGTTCTGTGATATATAGGATAATTGTTAATTTCGGTGTAATATCACATTTTATTTATAATTAATTTCACAGAGTGGATACCTAAAGTGTTGTTCACAAAGTGGCGCAGCCATGAGTGAAAATAACAAATTTTGGTATTCAGAAGTGAACTTATCATGATACTTACATTGATACAGTATACATGTATGTGTTTACTTTATGTCTAAAACTCCACTAATGTTTGGTTCCTTTCAATAAAAGGTTGAAATATGCGAGAAACTTTTTATCAGGAAGCATCGCAAAGATGAAGTCATTTTATTGACGTTGTTGTCATATTTTTTTTCCGAAATTCAGTATACTTGGTTATCTTTTTTGATATTTATATAGTTATCAAATTCGATAACTTTTTTCACAAAGTGGCTTGTGAGTCAGGATATAATTCAATGTTAACTTCCATAAACCATTGAAAATTGATAAAAGATTAATGAAATTCTTATTGAGAATGATATTATAAGCACATAGAAAACTGATCCAAACAGTAACGTTTCACAAAAGTTACTATAACTATTGATATTAACAATTGAAATGCATTAAATTGTAAATACTATTGTTATTTCTTGCCTTTATTGTGGTTTTGTTGATGAAGATATGAGAAATGAAGCTGGTTATTTTTACAAACTTGTACAAACTATTTGTTACTTTTCATCAGCTGCATATTTTTTTTACACGTCTATAAACAGTATTTCTATGTGCCAAGGTTTTGTTATTATATTTGTTTACTTTTCATCAGCTGTATATTTTGTTTACACATCTATGAACAGTATTACAACTGTGCCAAGGTTTTGTTTTATTATATTTGTTACATTTCACAAGCTGTATAATATATTTTTCTTCAGCACTATCATACCAAAGTGTAATATATGGTTGTAATGAACAACTTTTTATATTTATTCATGTAGATCTATTTCATTTGTCCAATACAAAGATATCTGAAAATTTAAATATCATATAAAACATAGATACTATTTCATTTGAAAATGAAAGTAATTGGTAGATAGAAATTTGTAATGAATTACAATAAATGTATAATACTTTCCTATGAATTATGTAGAAATTTAAAAAGACATGGGAGTAGGTTTGCAGTTGTGTCTTTGAGAATCTGTATATATATGATACACTCTTACCATAATTGAGATTACTAAATAAAGTTAACATTGTTAAAGCATATACATTGTGTGTTGTTTTCTTGCAGGATAATAAAGGCTTTGTGCCATAATCTGTCTGTTCCAGTTAAAACATCACTTGAATATTTAATGCAAGTACAAGAATTATGACAGTTGCAACTTAACGTCCAGCAAACTTATAATTGAAGTACTTGAAAATAGATCTATCCCGGAATTCAAAATCTACCCATAATGGAAGTATCTGGGCTGCCCATTTGAAACCCATATTTAGTACAAGGACTGCCCATATGGGGCCCATATTGAGTACATGGGCCGCCCAGGTGATTCCATATGGAGTATAAGGGCTGCCCAAGTCTCAAATTTTGATAAGATTAAAATACAGGGCAGCATTGCTGCAAATGCAATAAAAAGGTTATGATACAGGGCAAGTGTTCATTAAGAAAATACCGGTATACTTAACCGGCATTAACTTTGGGCCAATATTTTAATAAGTGTGCCAATATCTTTCATAAGGCACACTTTTGCTGTAAAAACCTATGATTAATGTCATCTAGATCTGTTTTTCTTCTTTTTAGAGATAGGTCTAATAGAACTAAAATATTTGAATAAATATCAAACTGTACATTATCTGCAACGAAAATAAATGGCGTAATCAATAAACAGACTCAGGCTGTGAAAGGTTATATATTTCACAACACAATCGACACTCCAGTACTTTCAGTGCTTTTTTACATATTTTGGGGGAAATTAAAGTTAAGGCTTCGAAGGCATACTGCAGTATATCTAAAATGATCCTATATAACTATTGGCCCCGGTACTTATTGATACAATGTAGACCATAAAAAAACTTGGCCAAATTCTAGACAGTTCAAAAAATGTAAAATAAATAAACAGTACAGAGTTAAATTACAAACCAATAAAAAACAAAACACATCTTTAAAATTTTGTTTCTTATTCAATATCCATTAACATTGCTACATAATCAAGCATAATTATAAACAAATGACCTCACACATTATATAAAGATACAGTACGATAATTTACAAAATCAAATTATTGGAACTTGGCTGCAGAAATCTTCGTGACAAATGTTTTTGTTTTAACTTGTTCATAACTGTATAGTGCAAAAGCAATTGTTTATGATTAAACTTCTTTCATCTGTCAATTTTGTATTTTCCTTCTTTGATTAGAAAAATGTATTTCTAAAAAACGTCATTTTTGCACCAGAAAAATATTTAAAGTCCTATTAATGGATACCAACACGATAATTGCCCTCCAGTTTCCGAAATTGTGTTCATAAATGACGTGACTGTGAAACTACTTCGTCAATCATTCATCGAAGCTTTGAGATAATGGCTTTACAAAAGTCTGGTAAGTCTTTTGGTAATCTGGAAGTAACCATGTTCTTGTCGACAACTACAGAAACATCGGTGTAATTTGCCCCTGCATTCTCGACGTCATCTTTAATAGCTATAAAACATGTTACGTTTCTTCCTTTGATCACCTTGGCTGAGATCAGAACCCATGCACCGTGACAAATTGAAGCCAGCACTTTGCCAGCGTCATCCATCGCCTTAACTAAAGCAAGAATGCGTTTGTCTCGCCTTAGGTAGTCCGGTGAGAACCCACCAGGAATGATCAATGCATCTAAACCATCAACAGATATTTCATCAATTCCAAACTCGGCTTTACATGGATAACCGTGTTTTGAGTTATACGTTTTATTCTTTTCCGGCCCAATAGTAAATGTCTCGTGACCCTCTTCTTTTAAACGATAATATGGATACCATAGCTCTAAGTCCTCGTAATTAAACTCTGCAAGAATTCCTATTTTCTTACTCATAGTTGCTAATGTCAAACCGAAAGCGGAAATTAAAATAAGGGGCGTAACAATTCGCCACAATAATTATTCGACACAGTAACGATTCGCACACTTAGGTAAAATAGCATAAATATATCTAGCCTGGTTCCCGTCGTACTATAAAGTCGTACTCTTTTGAACGGAGAGAAAAGGGCAGGTAATCCAGACTAAAATATATCTTGATGATGATGATGATGATGGTGATAATGATGACGATTTTATATTCTACAATAAACATTTTTGAGTTTATTGAGGTCAAAGAACAGTCTAATTATTTTAATATGCTTATATTAAAATAATATACATGTTTTAAAATGCAATTTTACAGAATTTAACATATATAATCATCAAGTGTACGTACAAAAAGGGCTTGAACATAACTTTCTAACCTCAATGTCGGGGGCTGTAAAGTCTAAGTATACTTGGTATGATGTACATATTCATTTCCTTGACTGGAATAATTTGACTTACGTACAGCCGAGTAACATCACAATTTCAAATTACATGTTAACTCGTCATTAAACGTAATATTTATAAAAGTTGCTTTTGTTAAAAACTATAAATTACTCATAATCACTCCTTGTACATAGCTAAATAATGAGGGATGGGTGGCAGTATGAGCTAGGAAGGGATGCAAAACGAACGGATTGATACAGAGAAAATACAGAGACGGCAAAGGGCATGGCAGAAGATATGCGGCTTGTAATTGGCGGGTAGACAATTCTAAACTTCCCGTACCCAGGAACACTATCTGCTTCGTTTATGACTGGAGACCACCTACCTATGTCTTGACTAAAGTTGAGGAGAGTGGTTTCACAAAGTAGGCAGGGGTAACGAGGAAAGTGTGCTAAGGTGTGAGAGCCCCTAACAAAGAGAGCGACGGCTTAGAAGGCATGCCCTTGGTGGCCTATGATAGCCCTTTTCAGTGTTTCAACGTTTCCATAATTATTGTCCCTAGTTCTGGCTTCCATAACCTTATATGTCGCTTTTATTTTGACGTTGCGACAGGTCTAGCAGTACTATAAAACCTGTTCGCTGTCAAAGTATCTTTAGCTATATTGTCCCAGGTTAGTGTACATTTACAATGTAGGTTCTCATTGGACGCCGTACATGTAGTGACCTACTTTTGGCTCAAAATTCATATCTTTGGCTAATATATACATTGTACTCCGTTGAAATTTCATAGAGATAAAATATAACCACTTTGTGGTGATAAAATTAACCAGTTAATGACATGACTGGTGATATTCGCTATATAGTTTCTGTAACATACATGTATTGATGACACTACCAGTGAAATCATAATTGTTATTGACATATCTTGCCACAGTTCTCTGTACACTTTCTATTTTATTAGAAAAGTGTTTCTGTCGTACCAAATTAATATAGAACATTATTCTACTTGCGATCTTGTAAGATGTCTATGCAGCCTCCTTAATTTGATGCTTTTATGTTTCTTTTGATAAAACGGAGGAAGTTGTTTGGGTGTTACATTATCTATATGCAGCATGGAGCTAAATATAAATTATATATCTATGTATGCAGGGACCAGTTAATTATACCCAATATATTTTGAAGAATATAGTGTTTTATGTTGTATTATGTAAGGACATGGAGCTAAATATTTAATATTGTTTATATATCTGTGGTAAGGAATAGAGAAAATTTCAAGATGTGTCTCGTGAGAGATTCTATAAGTACTTCATATTTATCAGGGTTAAATTCCATGACCCAGTCTCTTTATCAAGCTTCTAACTTATAAAGATCATTTAGTAAGGGGGAGAAAGTAATTTTTATGTCAACTATGTAATGGTGTCATCAGTCAATGGTGTCTCTGAATGTAGAATATAATTTTAAAAATGGAACTATTTCATTGGACAAAATATCATTTGAATCATATCACATAGGTCTGATGTACATGTAAAACACCTTTAGTTGACGTACAATGTAGATCTGCGTTAAAGAAAATGTATCTCCATGACACATCAGATATCATTTTTCATATAAATTGATTCATTATAACCACCAATCTTAAGGTAAAACACCCCTAATGGACACTATAAGGAACTGTAAAATTAACAACATAGGACAGTTATATGCCTTAAATGTCACCTGTATGCAACATTTAAACAGAATTTATCGTGTGGTTTATGAGTAATGGACATTTTTCTGAACTAAAACTTTGCCATTAGAAGGGCTTTTTTTCAGAAATGAGGAAACTCTAAATAATTTATAATATCATCATTATGAAAAATGTTTTCCTATAGCTCATTGTTAAGAAACAAATAATGCAATTTAGGTAACAAATTAAACAAGCAAAATGATTGTTTTTAAACGAAATGTTTTTAATATGTATAAAAATGTAACCCTATCCCATCCACTTTTAACACTTATTTGACCATTTCCCTATGTAACAAGCCTTATTCAAAATATCCCTAAACTTTTCCACAATGAGGGGCGGTTTTCAAAGTTTGCCTAAATTTTCTTAAATGTAAATTGGTTGGTCTTGCAAAATATAAAATACTTTTACCATGTAGTTTTTATTTTATTAAACTTTGAAAATATCAGGTATCATATATTTGCTATTAAATATGGCATTATTTAGTAAATAAATACCTACAATAATTATATAATTAAATTGAAACACTTTTTTTCCTCCATTACTGTAGGGATCTGAGAGATTAATAAAAAATGGTAAAAAAAAAGAAAGAAAAAAAAGTTGTCCCTTCTGGGGTTTGAATCAACGCCCCCTCAGTTTACTTCAAAGTGGAGATACTAAGTGCATTACTGTAGGGGTGTATCACTTCAACCAACCCAGAAATTTATATATATCTACGCAACACAAAAATTGCAAAAGGGTAACATGACAAAGTAAAGAATGGATATTTAGCCGGAGCTTGAAAAGCAAAGTGCAAACAGTGTCAACTGATGAGACACAAGAATTACATCTGTTGCGAAAATTGTTGTGGCGAATCGTAAAAATATGTTTGTTCCCTCACAAAAGTGTTGTTCTTACGATTAGCACACAAAATTCTACTTTCTGTTTCGTAAATGGAAATCCCGTATGATTTGAAAAGGAAAGCTGGACATATTTAATGCTAAGACGTTTATCAAAATTTTGCGCGTAATTGTGGTTTCAAAATCAGGTCTGTACAATAGATATTCACAGGGAAATTAAGGCCATCCTTAAAAAATTGTTTGTTTGCAGTAACGCGACCGACTCACAATTTGCCCCTATTCAAAATTTTTTTTCATCTTATTAAATGAGAATTCAGTTATCAATTTATTAGTCTAATTGTTCTACCAGATTATCAAAGCATATATTGTCCAGCATTTTGAAATTCCATGTTTATTTGGGAGTACAGTTCAATAAAAAAAGAAAAATCTACCTACCTACCTACCAACCTTGAAAGTTCTGGGTCGGGTTACTGCAAACAAAAATTTTTTTAAGGATGGCCTAATGTCTCTGTAATTCATGGAAAAGAGTCAACTCAGCCCTATACCAACTCGGCACGGGTCAACTCGGCCCACTTTACAAAAATATATATAACGTATTAACTTTGCTTTGCATGTTGTTAAGGTAAATGAATAATAAGAAATATCTTATTATTATATAATTATACATTGTACTTCTGCCGAAATAAAGTATAGTTTAAAAAAATTGTTATTTATTTGTCTTATATTTATAAACTCTCTCTGTCGAACTACGTAAATAACCGAGGTATATTGAGTGAAAAAGCAAGAGTTGTTTTCCTTAATTTCCCGAATGCAAATTTAGCTGTGTTTAAATAGCTAGTTTGGGGCGATTAAATGTCCGATTTTAAAATTTGTTACACAAATTTAAAGCTGGTGATCTAAGCTTCCTTTTAGTATATATTTCAACACCTTGTTTGACACTGAAGGTATTTAAATTTACGGTTAAACCTATCACGAGTCAGAAATACAGTGAGATACGCAATCGGTTATCTTTACTCGCAATTCTACTGATAAGAAAAGCCTGTCTGCTACTAGTTCTGAAACTGTCAATCCGTGTTTAATAAATAATTACAATAATAACAATAAGTAGTGATAACACAAACCTAAATATATATAATTAAAAAGTGGGCCGAATTGACCCGTGCCAAGTTGGAATAGGGCCGAGCTGACTCGGGGGCCGAGTACGTTTTAGGGCCGAGCTGACCCGGATTCGTAATTCATGATACAGTACAGCTGGTACAGTACACAGATACTAGCTTAAGGTCTTCAGCGTGGGGTTCAGCGTGTACCCGTTTATATACTATGACATGACGTCGCTTTGAGATATTTTTGCTTCTGTCATGCAGGCTTGACCGACAAAAACTATAACAAGCCTGTAACGTCTAATATATTGGACTACATGTTGTTATAGATTCAACAGTACATTAAATACATGTCTACATCCTGGTTATCGCAAGAAAAGTTAAAATAGTAGATCTATATAGTACTATAAAATCTGTTCGCTGAAGTATCTTTAGCTTATAGTCTCCCAAGTAAGGTACAGTGATCGGTAGCCTTATTAATTCGGCGTGAACGGTTCAACCCATTTTACAGACTTTTTTTCTTACTGTCAAACCGTAGCGCCCGTCCAAAATTATCTCGGTGTCTCTTTGACAAGACTAAGCAGAGACGTTAAAAACATATATTATATCAGATAATATGTCTCTGACTAAGTGATCAGAAGTTACAAGCATGTTTTTATTATAATCGCTACTGGTCTTAGTAGTTTTCCGCCCCTTTATCATTTTTATCCATTTATCAGTTAAGCATCTGTATTAAATAAATGACTTTTTTATATGCAAACATGGTTACGGTTAATATGGAAGTATTTTAAATGATAATTATTTTTAGAAAAAAAGGTGTTTTTTTATTATCTGAAGCGTATGTAAGTGGCCATTGTTGACCTGCTTACGTCATCCGACCTGGATGTGAAAGATGTGCCCGCGCAAATTTGACTGTTGGACGCAGATGTGCGTTTAAGGCCGCATGATGTCATGCTGGTCACAGCATGACCTTGCAGCAAAATCATTTCCGGCCCATAACTTCGTTTATAATTTGAAGTTGGATTTAACAACTATTTCACAGAAAAGATCACCATATTGAGACAACGTGTCGCAGGCAACATTTGGGTCACTATTTTGAAGGTAAAGGTCACAGCATGACGTTGCAGCAAAATTGTGTCCGGCCCATGACTTCCTTATTTGAAGTCTGATTTTTCAACTATTTCACAGAAATATTGTTATTGCCTAGAGCAAGATAAGTCAAGTTTTTGAGTTTGTTAGGACTAATTTTGCTGAACCTTGCACTGAACACTTTAGAGGAGGGTTGTAATAGAATGCGAAATGGACTTCATTTTGCGAAATGGAGTTTAATATCATCTACAAAATAGATATATCAACCAACAAGCAACAGGGAGGTAAAATTCTGTATTATAAATCTGTGAGAAAAATAAGATAAGTTATAGTAAATAAAATGTTGTCATTATTTTAATAATTTAGATATTTGCTTGTTTTCAAAGACAAGAATAAGATAATTTATTAGTTCCATTAAAAATGTTAATCTATAAAAGATGCTATGTTATTATCATGATTAATGTAACTTGTAAGACGTACCACATATTAGCAATGAATATTTGAATAACAGTAAGAAAATAACAGACACAAATGGCTTCACTATTCCCTAACTTGAATTGAGGGAGAAATCACTTTAATATAAAAGTTAACATAAATAAGAGCTCTGTTGTGTATTTTTGACTGAGATAAAAAACAAATAACTCTACGATAAAATACCTACTGACTTGCTCGCCCTTTTCTGATTAGGTGAAAAATATATATCTAAAAATATCTGTTTTCTTTAAAGGTTAATAATACATCTTTGTCATAAAGTTTAAACATTTTTTTCTACATTTGCAGTAAAATGATATAATAATGATAACTGACCACCTGACTTCTGGAAGGACCACCTAACTTTCAAATCTAGTGGTCCGGCCTACCACCTGCTAAAAAGTTAGTGTTGAGGCCTGATTCTTATATCAGTTTAAGTTTATGGCATTATATCTGCCTTTCATTCATTGCTAACAATATTAGTTCATAGCCTCAATAACCAGGTGAGTGATATAAGGGCCATCATGGCCCTCTTGTTTAATTTGTATATGTAATTTTTGTTTTTGCTACATAGGTTCAATGCCATTATTTATGATCTTTGTTAATTGTTGAGCATTTTATATATTTACAGGATTGATTATGGCAAGCAAATTTGACCCCAGAGCTGACAATAATTGTGTTGATATTGATATTGAGCAACTTAGATCGAAAATAGAAAAACCTTGGTTTCGATCTGAACGGTTTGTTTGCTGTCCTTGGAAAAAATTTAGTAGACCCAATCTGTTAGATCTAGGGAAATGGAAATTTTTGGAAAAGAATAACAGTTGTATACCAGATGGTGAGGTAAGCAGATTTTATAAGTCATGTACTTATTGTTGCCATCAATACTTCCATAGACTGGCAGATAACAAGCTCTGAAAATTGATGACTTTTTGGGTTTGGGGGAATACAAGTAATATATGGATTTTTGTCCTCTCCTGGCACCATTTCATCATAATTTTGTATAGGACTTTCATTTATTGACTAATATCTAAATAATTTTTATTGATTTAAAGAATCTTGGACAATTTACTCAAACATTTTAAAGGTATGAAAACAAAACTTGGAATACTTGCTTAATACTGCCCCTTTTCTTTTTTCAAAATTGTCTATTAAATATCGAACAATTTTAAAGCTATGAAGGGTATCAAAGTGAAACATGCAATACTTCTTGACATTATCTTAAAAGTAATATTTTTAGGAGTTTAAACTTTGAGTATCTATTAAATAAAGTTTGTTAGTGATAGATGTTGCCCTTAACAGACAGGCATTAACACCACATATTGTGCTGTTGTTAATCTTCATCGGTGCATGCCTGCATCCATCTCCAAAAGTACTTGAGAGATTTTTTTTTCATACAGTATTTTACTTTTTTTATTTACTACTTTAAACACTGACAAAGCACCTTTGTAAGAAGTGCAAAGTACAAGAACAATAACTTTATCTTGCCTACTTTTAGAGTTATTACTCTTTATCAGATTTACTTCAAAATGTTTGTCCAGGGCATAATTCCAAAAATACTTGAGCAATTTTCTTCAAACCCAATATACTGACAGAGCCCATCAGGAGAAAGTTTAGAATAAAAATACAATAATACCTCTACCTTGCCTATTTTAATTGTTACTCCCCTTTATCAGATTTATTTGAAAATCAACTTTGTCTGAAGCATAACTCCTAACAACATTGAGGGATTTAACTGGCAGCAAATCGGTAGGAAGTGCAAGATGCAAGAACAATAACTCTACCTTGCCTTTTTTTAGAGTTATTCTACTTTATCAGATATATACTTGAAAAGGAAAAATCCTTAGCAAACTCTTTAGTAATTTTCTTCAAACTTAATAATAAAATAAACAAAATAAATAAATCACATATGTTACTAGTTATTCTAACCTTTTCTTCATTGCCTTATTCTTTTTCCACATGAAAACTGTACTTAGCAGGGGTTTATAAGGATTTCCTCTCACTAAGTAAAATATACCAAAGTAAAACTTATAAATTCTTTATGGTGAGGGGATTTACCATATGTTACATATTGGCTCTTGTTATTTTAAACTTCATTGTTTCTTTATTTATATTTTTTTCACAGGAGCTTGACAGTGTTTTAGAAGTGCACAAACTTTATACAGCAAAACTCAAGATGCCACCTGACGACAGAATTCAAGTGACCTGGATTGGACATGCTACAGTTCTTGTTCAGTTTGATAAAGTCTGTATATTATCTGATCCTGTATTCCTGGACTATTGTGGTCCAAACAGCGTAACTGCATACAAGAGATACAGAAAAGCTCCATGCACAATTGAAGAACTTCTTGGCATTGTAAAGATTGATGCTGTTATTATAAGCCATAACCACTATGATCATTTAGAAGAAGCATCTGTAAAAGCCATTGGAAAATCAGCCAGAGAAGATGAAACATATAGAAAATCTCCTGTGAAATGGTTTGTTGCAAAGAATCAAAAGGATTGGATTGTAAAAAATGGGATAAATGAAAGTGATGTAACAGAGCTAGATTGGTGGGAAGGGGAGGACAAAAACATCAGTTTGAATGGACAGACATTTAAATTTGTTTGTACTCCAACACAGCATTGGTGTGCCCGTCTTCCCCCTGTAGATGATTATAAGGTTGGTAATTTATAATTTCTTAAACATGTATAAGATTGAATGGATTATTGATGTATTGGTCCCTAGTTATGCCCCCATTTCGAAGAAAAGGGGGTATATTGCTTTGCACTTGTCGGTCCGTCGGTCCGTAGACCAAATGGTTTCCGAGTGATAACTAAAGAATCCTTAGGCCTAGGAACTTTAAACTTGGTATGGTGATTGGTCATGACCAGTAGATGACCCCTATTGATTTTGGGATCAAGGGGTCAAAGGTCAAGGTCACATTGACCTTGTAAGCAAAAACGGTTTCCGATCAATAACTAAAGAACCTTAAGGCCTAGGAACTTCAAACTTGGTATGGTGATTGGTCATGATCAGTAGATGACCCCAATTGATTTTGGGGTCAAGGGGTCAAAGGTCAAGGTCACATTGACCTTGTAAGCAAAAACGGTTTCCGATCAATAACTAAAGAACTTTAAGGCCTAGGAACTTCAAACTTGGTATGGTGATTGGTCATGATCAGTAGATGACCCCTATTGATTTTGGGGTCAAGGGGTCAAAGGTCAAGGTCACATTGACCTTGTAAGCAAAAACGGTTTCCGATCAATAACTAAAGAACTTTAAGGCCTAGGAACTTCAAACTTGGTATGGTGATTGGTCATGATCAGTAGATGACCCCTATTGATTTTTGGGTTAAGGGGTCAAAGGTCAAGGTCACATTGACCTTGTAAGCAAAAACTGTTTCCGATCAATAATTAAAAGAACTTTAAGGCCTAGTAACTTCAAACTTGGTATGGTGATTGGTCATGATCAGTAGATGACCCCTATTGATTTTGGGGTCAAGGGGTCAAAGTTCAAGGTCACATTGACCTCTTGGGTAAAAACGGTTTCTGATCAATAACAAAAGAACCCTTAGGCCTAGGAACTTCAAACTTGGTACTGTGATTGGTTATGACCAGTGGATGACCCCTATTGATTTTGGGGTTAAGGGGTCAAAGGTCAAGGTCACATTGACCTTGTAGGTAAAAACGGTTTCCGATCAATAACTAAAGAACCCTTAGGCCTAGGGACTTCAAACTTGATATGGTGATTGGTCATGATCAGTAAATGACCCCTATTGATTTTGGGGTCAAGGGGTCAAAGGTCAATGTCAAATTGACCTCTTAGGTAAAAACGGTTTCAGATCAATAACTAAAGAACTTTAAGGCCTAGGAACTTCAAACTTGGTATGGTGATTGGTCATGACCAGCAGATGACCCCTATTGATATTGGGGTTAAGGGGTCAAAGGGCAAGGTCACATTGACCTTGTAGGTAAAAATGCTTTCCAATCAATAACTTAAGAACCCTTAGGCCTAGGAACTTCAAACTTGGTATGGTGATTGGTCATGACCAGCAGATGACCTATTGATTTTGGGGTCAAGGGGTCAAAGGTCAAGGTCACATTGACCTTGTAAGTAAAACATTTTCCGATCAATTAACTAAAAACGCTTAGGCCTAGGAACTTCAAACTTTGTATGATGATTGGTCCTGACCAGCAGATGACCCCTATTGAGTTTTGGGTCAAGGGGTCAAAGGTCAAGGTCACATTGACCTTGTAAGTAAAAACAGTTTCCGATCAATAACTAAAGAACGCTTAGGCCTAGGAACTTCAAACTTGGTATGGTGATTTGTCATGACCAGCAGATTACCCCTATTGATTTTGGGATCAAGAGTTAAAGGTCAAGGTCACATTGACATTGTAAGTAAAAACGGTTTCTGATCAATAACTAAAGAACCTTTCGGCCTAGGAACTTCAAACTTGGCATGTTGATTGGTCATGAGCAGCAGATGACCCCTATTGATTTTGGGGTCAAAGGTCAAGGTCACATTGACCTGGTATGTTAAAAACGGTTTCTGATCAATAAACTAAAAACGCTTAGGCCTAGGAACTTCAAACTTTGTATGATGATTGGTCGTGACCAGCAGATGACCCCTATTGAGTTTTGGGTCGAGGGGTCAATGGTTAAGGTCATGGCCAGTAGATACTTGATAACCCTTATTAATTGTTTGATCACTGGGTCAGAAGTCATGCATAATAACTAGGGATGTCATCTGGAGCCGAAACAGCCATCCGGATATCCGAATCAAACATCCGGATACATCCGGATGTTCGGATCGTTGTTATATTCTTAGATGTCTGATATGACGTAACCATTTTTTCGCGACCTTTTTGAAAGTGTAGTATTTCGTTTTTCTTCCTTTTTAATTGAATGATACATATCAAAAATTTTCCGTTATTGATTTTATTTCTTCTATATAGAATACGACTAGTTGTTATCAATAAATTTCGTGCATGTGGTACTTACAATTTCAAATGAAATGAAAACGAAATTCGCCGCCGATTTCTCAATTAGCGCTATAATACGCAATAAAATTCGCTCACATTTGTGAAAACAAAATAATACCCGTAAAAATTAAATATAATGTTTCCATTGTTCGATAACACGCATACAATTTACACACGATGACCTTTAACACACGTGTAGCCGGCTTTTCAAAAGAATCTGCCAATCTTTGATGTTTACCATCATGTAGCCCTGGCTGTTTGATTCGAATCTTCAAAGAAAGTGCCGAAACTTACATGAATTACACACATTTTAAGTGTTCATAAGTGAAAAAAGAAATGTGAAAAAAAAAATGTTTAAAAAAAATGCACATGTTTGATTAATACTAAAGGAGAAAGTTATTTTGTCGGATAATTTTCGTATCAATTTTAATAAAAGCTGTGATAATTAACATATAATTCGTAAGTGCATTTCTTTATTTGCTTATTTTATTTCTGCAGATTTTTCATTGTCTCAAAATAAGGAGTCGACGGGTCGGTAAGCCGAAATATATATAAAAATAATAACCTAATTAAATATAAAAAATGTAACATCGTTGCCGATGACAGTCGCACGGGACTTATAATTAGAATATCCATGTTGAATCTTACAAAACTTAAATTTGATTAACAACATGTGTCATAATTGACTCGTAATTATTATAGTAATTATTGATTTTTTGTGGTCTGCAGAGATTATGATGTGTATTGTCAAATTAAGGTACAATATACAATATGGTGTCAACACCATGTCTACGATTATCTCAACGCATGTATTTATCACATTTTCTCAATATTTTAAAATATTTTATACGAACATCCGGATCAGAAAATCGGCTCCGCACACCGAATCGTTATCCGAACGTTCGGATATCCGGACTCCGAATGACATCCCTAATAATAACCTTATCACATGACTAATTGGCTGCTGATAGGGGGCATACATGTTTTACAAACATATCTTGTTTCTTTAAGGTTCTGTCCTAGGATGGTAACTTGAGCCGTTGTTTAATAATAACAGTATAATTAATAGGTAAGGCATATTGAAGCCTCATAAATAAAAAACAACTTAAAACATCATGTTACCATGTGCCTTGATAGCTCAGTAGGCATTGTGTCAGTGTTGTGCTTGTGTATTTTCATGTACCAATCATGTTTAAGTATCATTTTTATGCTCCCCGAAAAATTTTGGGGGAGCATATAGTCGCCGCCTTGTCCGTCCGTCCGTCTTTCCGTCCGTCCATCCGCTTTTCTTGTCTGGGACATAACTTTGAAACAACAAGAGGTATCAACATGAAACTTTGTAGGTAGATAGATCTCATTGATTAGATGTGCAGTGCACAAGAACCGTAACTCTGCCTTGCCTAATTTTTGAATTATTCCCCTTTGTTTATTTTTACACTTTGAACTTTGTCCGGGACATAACTCTAAAAGTATAAGAGGTATCAACATGAAACTTTGTAGGTAGATAGATCTCATTTGGAAGGTGTGCAGTGTACAAGAACCGTAACTCTGCCTTGCCTAATTTTTCAAATATCCCCCTATGTTTATTTTTACACTTTGAACTTTGTCAGGGACATAACTCTAAATGTATAACAGGTATCAACTTGAAACTTTGTAGGTAGATAGATCTCATTGAGTAGGTGTGCAGTGCACAAGAACTGTAACTCTGCCTTGCCTAATTTTTGATTTATTCCCCTTTGTTTATTTTACACTTTGAACTTTGTCTGGGACATAACTCTAAAACTACAGTTAAACTTCGTTCGCTCGAACTCGGATCGCTCGAATACCTCCCTTCGCTCGAACTCATCGCCCAGTCCCGGCAAAATTCCTATATTATATATATTGTTCTACCTCGGATCGCTCGAACACCGATCGCTCGAACTCTCGAACCTGATCTCTGGTCCCTTCGGCAGAAATATAGTGAAAATCACACCTTTCCGGTCGAACACAAAAAGACAAGTCGGTATGTCCTAAATAAATGACAGTCAGCGACACATGTTTTTAACACCTCGTGATCGTGACAAAGGTAATTAAGGTTAATTGATACAAAAAAGAGGTGTTGTAACCGATTTATTTGTATGATAATATTGTTGATTTGCCGTTTATGGTAACGATAAAAAGAAAATAACTTGTGAAATAAGTGAAATATGCATGCCAATAAAGAATGACGTTACCCGGACGGCTTTAATTACAACCGTGGTTCATGTAAAGTGAATCGTAACAGTGTTATCTATTTATAGAATGATACTTGTATGTGTGTTTATTTTAGTAAATGACTACAAATAGATGATGCTGTAAATGTTTTTAATAAATATTTCATTAATTTATTTTTTAAAATTAAATTCATCCCATTATAAACATATAAATATATAAATATATTTTATACATTGTTCAACAAGTTTGGTGTGATTGCCCAATCGAACTCAACCAATTACAATATGCCTGAATATAGATAAACACAGCGTACCGTTAATACTTAATTTAAACACTGGGATAATAATTCTGAGTATGAAAATTCGACGAACAGATATACTAACAAATGATTATATTGACGCATTTATCATTCAAACGATGTAAGCTAGGAAAACCTTTAGGCATTTGATCAACGTAATATTAGTTCAACCTCGGTTGGCTCGAACTACCGATCTCTCGAACAAATTTGCACAGGCCCTCCGAGTTCAACGAACGAAGTTCGACTGTATAAGTAGTATCAACATGAAACTTTGTAGGTAGATAGATCTCATTGAGTAGGTGTGCAGTGCACAATTACAGTGTTCAGGTGAGTGACATACATGTATCAAGAAGGGGTGGGTGAGGGGGACTAGGTTCATCCCTGGGATATGGCTATTCAGTTTTAAAATTGCATAAAATACATTAAAGTTTATAACTTACAGTATGTTTTTTTAGGGCAAATCACACAAAATTTTGACTTTTAATCCCTTTAGTAAAGAAGAAAATCGCTGAACCCCCACTGAACCCTTATGGTAAAAAATCCTAGATAAACAACATAGCAATCTAGGGCAATCATTAACTCTTTGTTCATTCATGTAGTTGATTGATAAAGGCTCACTTGGGTTTTTTTTTTCAAAAGCCAGAGGTTTTTAAAGTACAAAAATATACAATTAAAATATGCAATCAGTACAATTTTGCATGTAAACATTTTATATTTTTAGGTTCTTTGGTGTGGATGGGTTGTAAAAGGGCCGACTAAATCTTACTATTTTGCTGGTGACACAGGTTATTATGAAGAATTGTTTAAGGCAATTGGTAAGAAATATGGCGGTTTTGATCTGGCAGTATTACCAATAGGAGCATATGAACCAAGGTATAATCAATAATACATCTGATTGTCTCAGGATATCATATCAAACATTAATTTATTCACATTTTAGCATGAACTTATGAGTGTATGAATGTAAATTTTGAAATATAATTAAAGACTGGTATTTTTTTAGGTCACCAAAGAACAAATATATAATTCAAAGAGTTTTTAATCTGTATTTTTTTTTCTTTTTATATGCCTGAAAGAATTTATAGCATATTATGTTATACACCCTGGCGCCCGTCTGTCCATCCGTCCGTCCCTTAGCAATTTGGTTTCCGGAGCAGAACTTAAGTTCCATTTGGCCAACAGTATTCAAACTTTATAGGATGATTGTCCATATTGGGTAGAAGACACCTATTGATTTTGGGGTCACAAGGTCAAAGGTCAAGGTCACTATTACCGTAAAACTGAAAACAGTTTCCGAAACATAACTTAAGTTCTATTTGGCCACAGTGTTCAAACTTCGTAGGATAATTGTCAATATTAGGTAGAAGACCCCTATTGATTTTGGGGTCACAAGGTCAAAGGTCAAGATCACTTTACCTTAAAACTGAAAACAGTTTCCGGAGCATAACTCAAGTTCTATTTGGCCCACAGTGTTTCAACTTCTTAGGATGATTGTCCATATTGGGTAGAAGACCCCTATTGATTTTGGGGTCACAATGTCAAAGGTCAAGGTTACAATTACCTTAAAACTGAAAACAGTTTCCAGGGCATAACTTAAGTTCCATGTGGCCCACAGTGTTCAAACTTCATAGGAAGATTGTCCATATTGGGTAGAGGACCCCTATCAATTTTGGGGTCACAAGGTCAAAGGTCAAGGTCACTATTACTTTAAAACTGAAAACAATTTCTGGAGCATAACTTAAGTTCCATTTGGCCCTCAATATTCAAACTTCATAGGATGATTGTCCATATTGGGTAGAAGACTCATATTGATTTTGGGGTCACAAGGTCAAAGGTCAAGGTCACTATAACCTAAATACTGAAAACAGTTTCCAGAACGTAACTAAAGTTCCATTTGGCCCACAGTGTTCAAACTTAATTGAATGATTTTCCATATTGGGTAGAACACCCCTATTGATTTTGGGATCAAAATGTCAAAGTTCAAGGTCACTATTACTTTAAAACTGGAAAGAGTTTCCGGAGCATAACTTAAGTTACATTTAGCCCACAGTGTTCAAACTTCATAAAGGATTGCTATTTGAAGGAGTTAATACTTTATTTAATTCCCATGTCTTACAAATGCTTCATCCTTACTAATACAAGAATTTGTAACAGAGTTACCAACGTCCCCCGCCCCGGGAGTTTTATATGAAGCATAAAATTGTGCTATTTCAAAAGATTGAGGTATGGACCTCAGGACATTCAGTCCAAAATTATGATCAATGCTAGATCTGCAAATGTAACAATAAATTTGTTAAAAAAATAAAATGAAACACGGAATTTAAAAATCTATCATGTTAAGCTTTGACCTCTAAGTGTGAACTTGACCTTGGAGGTAGGGGAGAAGGTGTTTTGCATGACATAACGTCTTATTATTGTGACTATTTGTGCCAAGTTATTTCAAAATCCCTTGAACTATGAAAAATTATAGACCTGACACAAAATATACCCTGTAACAGACTATGTAAGTATTTGACCTCCAAGTGTGACCTTGACCTTGGAGGTAGGTGACCGGTTTTTTGCGCATGACACATCATCTGATTATTGTTAACAAATTATGGCAAGTATTTACAAAAGTCCTTCATAGATAAGAAAGTTATGGACTGGACACGACATATACCCTCAAATAGACAATGTTGACCTTGAATGAACAAGTACGACCTTGACCCTGAAGGTACGGGTCTGGTTGTTGCGCATGACACATCGTCTTATTATAACAAACATTTGTGCCAAGTTATCTCAAATTCCTTTGATAAATGACAAAGTTATGGACCGGACACGAAATATACCCTGTAACAGACTATGTTAATATTTGACCTCCAAGTGTGACCTTGACGTTGAAGGTAGGCAACTGGTTTTTGCGCATGACACATCGTCTGATTATTATGAACAATTATGGCAAGTATTTACAAAAACCCTTCATAGATAAGAAAGTTATGGACCGGACACGAAATATACCCTGTAACAGAATATGTTAATATTTGACCTCTAAGTGTGACCTTGACCTTGAAGGTAGGTGACTGCTTTTTCCGCATGACACATCGTCTATTATGGCAAGAATTTTCACAAAATCCCTTCATAGATAAGAAAGTTATGGACCGGACACAAAATATACCCTGTAACAGACTATGTTAATATTTGACCTCCAAGTGTGACCTTGACCTTGAAGGTAGGTGACTGGTTTTTGTGCATGACACATCGTCTGATTATTGTGAACAATTATGGCAAGTATTTACAAAATTCCTTCATAGATAAGAAAGTTATGGACCGGACACGACATATCCCTCAAATAGGCAATTTTTGACCTTGAATGAGCAAGTGTGACCTTGACCCTGGAGGTAGGGGTCTGGTTGTTGCGCATGACACATCGTCTTATTATAATAAAAATTTGTGCCAAGTTATTTCAAATTCCTTTCATAAATGACAAAGTTATGGACCGGACACGAAAGTGTGACGGACGGACAGACGGACGGACAGACGGACGGAGCTTATTTCTATATCCCCCTTTTTTCTTCGAAAAGGCGGGGGACAAAAAAAAAAAAAACACTTTCGGGCATATAATGCTCCGCCTAGCAGTACTCTTGTTAAAGATGAATTTTAATCATTATCATGTTTTACAGATGGATTTTAGAATTCCAACATGTTGATCCAGCAGAAGCTGTAAATATACATCAAGATATTAAATCTAAATGTTCTATAGGAATGCATTGGGGGACATTTAAAACTTCAGCTTGTGAGGTACTGATGAAAAGATTTTCTGTTTATGTTAAATGCATCTTGTCAAAGTAAAATTTTGTGAAGTATAGCAGTTGCTGCTGTACCCACCACCTTTGTTTTACTGATTGGGATCATCTTATATAAATTAAAATGTTATATCAAACAGCTTGTAGAAAACAGAAAAAATGTTGGCATACTGGACAGGATGTATTTAACAACTAAATGCTTAACCCTTTATTCTACATTGTACATTTAACTTGCAGATTTATGATTAAAGACATTATTAGAATGTCAACTTAGCCGTCAGTTTATTTACAGAAGGATAAAATGACTGGTAAAATAATCATAAATTTGCTTGCATTTGTATATTCGAATAAAGGATTATGTTTCATTCATATGTTTGAGAAAAAAAAATAATAGCATGTCCTCTAGCAAAAACATACATCATGAATGGGTATTTATTCGTTAATGTTATAGTTATTTGATGAAAAAAATGTTTCAGACATATAACTGAATTCCAACATGTAGATCCGACAGAAGCTGTGGAAATTCACTTAGATGTAAACTCAAAACAATCTATTGGAATGCACTGGGGGACATTTGAGCTAACAAATGAGGTATATAGGGTTTTAAATTTTGTCATGCACTCGTGGATATTTGCATTAACACCGGATGATTACATTGCATTAACACCGGATGTTAACGTTGCATTAACACCTGATATTTACATTGCATTAACACTAGATATTTACATTGCATTATCATCAGATATTTACATTGCATTAACAACAGATATTTACATTGCCAGGGCCTTTTCACTAGTTTTGGGGAAGGCGCCCAAGCCCTTTTTGTGGGGAAAAAATGTGTGGTTTTAATACTTTTGGGGAAAAAAAATCACATTTTCCACTGGCAGTTTAACTGTTATTACTATAAATAAAGACTTATTTAAATCATACATTTGGGGGAAATATCATAATATATTTGCATATTTTCCCCCAAACACACTTATTTTAGGAGCTTTCTGTCCAACATAAGTTACAGGGATTTTTTTACAGATCAATTTATTGCCACTTTTTATTTGCCTAAGAATACATTAACTCATATTTCCTAATTATAGAAAATTTACGTATGACATGTGAGGGTTCTTGATTTGAGGTATCCCTCTAGTGGGTAATTGAATAATTAGCTTTCATTGGACAAAAACAATGATCTATTTTTAAACAAGAAAGTTTGTTAACAAGTTTTTTTCTCCGATGTAACATTTCTCTGAAAGGGAAAATCTTTGCAAGAAGGGGAATTTTAGACTGTTTTTTGGGGAAAAAAGGTAGTAAGTTGGCTTGGGGAAGTAGCCGAATACCGGCTACAGTACAGAAGGGTAAAAAGGCCCTGATTGCATTAACACTAGATATTTACATTGCATTAACACTAGATATTTACATTGCATTATCATCAGATATTTACATTGCATTATCATCAGATATTTACATTGCATTAACAACAGATATTTGCATTGCATTAAAAACAGATATTTACATTGCATTAACACTGGATATTTACATTGCATTAACACTGGATATTTACATTGCATTAATATCACTTGATATTTGCATTGCATTAATATCACTGGATATTTACTTTGCATTAATATTACTGGATGTTTACATTGCATTAATATCACTGGATATTTGCATTACATTATCGCCAGATATTTACACTACATTAAAATCACTGGATATTTGCATGCATTTATATCACTGGATATTTCCATTGCATTATCACCAGATATTTATATTGCATTAATATCACTGGATATTTACATTGCATTAACACTGGATATTTGCATTGCATTTACACTGGGTAATTACATTGCATTAATATCACTGTATATTTGCATTGCATTATCACCAAATATTTAGATTGCATTAATATCACTGGATATTTGCATTGCATTTACACTGGGTAATTACATTGCATTAATATCACTGGATATTTGCATTGCATTATCACCAAATATTTAGATTGCATTAATATCACTGGATATTTGCATTGCATTTACACTGGGTAATTACATTGCATTAATATCACTGGATATTTGCATGGCATCATCACCAGATATTAACATTGCTTTAATGTAACTGGATTTTTGCATTGCATTAATATCACTGGATATATGCATTGCATTATCACCAGATATTTACATTGCATTAATTAATATCACTGGATGTTTTCATAGCATTAATATCACTGGATATTTGCATTGCATTATCACCAGATATTTAGATTGCATTAATATCACGGGATATTAAAATTGCATTACTTTCACTGGATATTTACATTGCATTAATATCACTGGATATTTGCATTGCATTATCACCGATATTTACATTGCATTATTATTGGAAATTTACATTGCATTAATATCATTTGATATATTTTCATTGCGTTATTGCCAGATATTTACTATACATTATCACTTAAAAGTCTCTAACTTCATGTTAAATATATATATATCTAATTTATTTACAGTGAATTATGTCATTATATCTACAGATACTCCCACACCATGAGCTTGATATTGTAGGTAAGGTGGTCTCTTTGTCTGAACGTAATTTTGTCACTCATTAATGAAGTTCGGAATTACTTGACAGAGATATTCACCATCATGAAATTCATAGTCATATTTCTGGTGTTATGAACAAAGTTTAGTTTTGAAATAGGTGTTTAATTGTTAATTACCTTACATCAAATATTGTTTTTATGGCCATAAAAGTGCATATGATAAATGAATGCAATTCACTTAACTCATGAATTCACTTATTTTATTTTGTTTCATATACAGTATGTGATACCTAACTTAACTTCCTTGATTATTTCATAAGTTGTTGATTTCAGTTCTTTGTTGAACCACCACAGAAGGTTGAGGAGGAAATGAAAAAGAAGAAACTGGATCCGAAACAGTTTATAAGTTTAAGCCATGGAGAGACGTGGTGTGTTGGAGATGAAAGAAAAATTCCCCCATTCATGACATATAAAAGCAGGGAAGGGAGACATAGTAGTGCAGACCAGGCAAACAACTATACAGACTAACATTTCTTATGTTGATATACAAATGTGTATTTGTAGTGTAGATAAGCCAGACAACTATAATCTGATCAATGCTCTTTTAAATTAATATATACATGTTGTTTAGTTGTTATTGGTGCAAGAAGTTTAACTTTGTAAAACATTTATTGTTTAACCTGCTTTACATATGAACATGAAGACAGTGTCTAAACTGGGTAGACAGATCTGTCAAGTATCATTTTAACTATGTAAGGGACATAACTCTGTCATGGATTTCACTTAAAAATTTCAGTCAAGTTTTTTGTACTCTTTGAGGTTTTGCTTTTGAATACTTGTAAGTGATCAATATATCCACTTTTAGACCAAAGGACATAAGTCTATCCAGAAATGTAATAAAATATATATTTTACTAGTGTTTAATAAAAAAAATTAACACTTTTTAGTTACCATTATTCATTTCCAGGCAATGGGACATAACAATAACCGTTTTTTGCACAATTCATTTGTTTAAAAGTTGTTCATACTAGTAGGTTTATTGCTTTAGTAACATACTACATGTGTATTATCGTTGCAATAATGACATTTTTCTCAAATAATGAAAGCTTGTCTTTTTTTCACACAAAGTGTATGTATAAATGTTATGTTGGTGATTTTTACTTAGGTTTGTAGTTTTACACCAAGTGTCTGTGTAAGTGTTGGTGATGTTTCCATACATATGAAGTCTTGATATTGTTTTACACTTAGTGTACATGCATATTAAATGTTTGTGAATTGGTTAAATGGTTTTGTGTGAAGATTTATTAAGAATATTATAACTAGTTTGTTATTTGTTTTGATTATGATGTGCAGTGTAACTTCTGATAACGGAACACCTGTGGGATTAGCCAAAAAGTTTGGAATTTGGAAGTGTCCGGAATTCAGAAGTTTGGAATTATCTGAACAAGTGGAAACATTAGGTTAACATTGAACATCTGATGAATTGGTTAAGACATGATGAAAAATAATGGAAGCTTATTAAATTCATAAAATGGCAAAATTATAGGACTTTTAAAAGGTTATAACAACATTGAATATTAATTTCATTATAATCTATAACTGAATTTGTTGATACAGAAGAATAATTTCATGTTGTACCAGCTATTAATAAACTGTATTTTTTGTTAGCTCACCTGTCACAAAGTGACAGGGTGAGCTTTTGTGATCGCTTTTCGTCCGGCGTCCGTCCGTCGTCCGTCCGGCCGTCCGTCCGTCCGTCCGTAAACTTTTACTTTAAATGACATCTCCTCATAAACCACTAAGCCAATTTCATCCAAACTTCACAGGAATGTTCCTTTGGTGGTCACCTTTAAAAATTGTTCAAAGAATTTAATTCCATGCAGAACTCTGGTTGCCATGGCAACCGAAAGAAAAAACTTTAAATATCTTCTTGTAAAAAACCATAAGAGCTAGAGCTTAGATATTTGGCATGAAACATCTTCTAGTGAGTGTCTACCAAGTTTGTTCAAATAAATGCCCTGGGGTCAAAATTGGCCCCGCCCAGGGGGGTCATTGATTTTCCCTATATGCATATAGTAAAAACTTAAAAAATCTTCTGTTAAAGAACCCAAAGAGCTAGAGCTAAGATATTTAGCATGAAACATGTTCTAATGGGTGTCTACCAAGTTTGTTCAAATAAAAGCCCTAGGGTCAAAATTGGCCCCGCCCAGGGGGGTCATTGATTTTCCCTATATGCATATAGTAAAAACTTAAAAAATCTTCTTTTAAAGAACCAAAAGAGTTAGAGCTAAGATATTTAGCATGAAACATGTTCTAATAAGTGTCTACCAAGTTTGTTCAAATAAAAGCCCTGGGGTCAAAATTGGCCCCTCCCCAGGGGGTCATTGATTTTCCCTATATGCATATAGTAAAAACTTACAAAATCTTCTTTTAAAGAACTCAAAAGAGCTATGGCTAAGATATTTAGCATCAAACATGTTCTAATAGGTGTCTACCAAGTTTGTTCAAATAAAAGCCCTGGGGTCAAAATTGGCACCGCCCCAGGGGGTCATTGATTTTCCTTATATGTGTATAGCAAAAACTTAAAAAATCTTCTTTGAAAAAACCCAAATAGCTAGAGTTAAGATATTAAGCATGAAACATCTTTTAGTGAGTGTCTACAAAGTTTATTCAAATAAAAGACCTGGGGTCAAAATTGGCCCCGCCCCGGGGGTCATTGATTTTCTTTATATGTGTATAGCAAAAACCCTGAAAAAACCCAAATAGCTAGAGTTTAGATATTAAGCATGAAACATCTTCTAGTAAGTGTCTACAAAGTTTGTTCAAATAAAAGCCCTGGGGTCAAAACTGGCCCGGCCCCAGGGGTGTCATTGTTTTTAACTATATTTGTATAGTAAAAACTTAAAAAAAAATTTCTTTTAAAAAGCCCAATGAGCTAGAGCTTAGATGTTTAGCATGAAACATCTTCTTATGGGTGTCTACCAAGTTTGTGCAAATAAAAGCCCTTGGGTTAAATAGGCCCTGCAACGTTGGGGGGGGGGGGGGGGTTGGGGGGCCTATATACAGGTGAGCGACCTCAGGGCCATCATGGCCCTCTTGTTTTAATCACAATATACTTCTCATTTTTGATTTTTCACACTTTAATCAAGTGTTTGGCATGCTTGACAGATTGTGATAGGTGTCAAGATAAATGGTTTCTGCTAATTGGAAGATACTGACAAATTTGAAGGTTTTACAATCTCATTTATAATATTCCTTCACACCTTTTTTAATTTCCGGATTTTGGAAGTATATTTGAATTAATATAACCCAAATTGTACTGGAAAGTCATTCGGAATTCAGAATTTAGAAGTTTCGGAATTCAGGGGATACATACAAAAGCCCCCGCATCCAAAAATGACAAGGTGGACAAAAGTCCCCCATGAAATTTACATGTAGGACAAAAGCCCCCCCCCCCATTAAGATCTTCTTTTAAAAAAAAAACCAAATAGCTAGAGCTTAGATATGAAGCATGAAACATCTTCTAGTGGGTGTCTACCAAGTTTGTTCAAATAAAAGCCCTGGAGTAAAAATTGGTCCCGCCCCAGGGGGTCATTGTTTTTCCCTTTATCATTAAAAAGTCTTCTTTTAAAGACCCCAAAGAGCTATAGCTAAGATATTCAACATGAACCATCTACTAATGGGTGTCTACCAAGTTTCTTCAAATAAGGGCCCTGGGGGTTAAAAATGGCCCCGCCCCAGGGGTCATTGATTTCCATAATTGTGTATAGTAAAAACTTCTTACAAAAAACCCAAAGATACTAAGCAGTGAGTGTCTACCAAGTTTATCAAAATAAAAGCCCTAGGGTCAAAACTGGCACCTCCCAGGGGGGTCATTGTTTTTCTCTTTATGTATTTAGTAAAAGCTTAAAAAAATCTTTTTTTACAAACCCCAAAGAGCTGGAGCTTAGATATCTATCATAAAACATCTTCTAATGGGTGTCTACCAAGTTTGTTCAAATAAAAGCCCCTGGTGTAAAATTGGCCTTGGCCCAGTGGCCTATATACAGGTGAGCGAGTTCACGGCCATCATGACCCTCTTGTTTCTTAAGGGATCAACTTCATACTTCAAATATATGTTCTTTATCATTAACCACATCTTATGTGACAAGGTTCATAACTCCAGCACCAATATTGCAAGAATTATCTCCCCATTAGGCATTAACTTTGATTTTTTTACTTGAAAAATGTTATTTTTTATTACTATAACTTATTTAGTTTAAAAGGTATCTACCTCAAACTTCAAATATATATTCCTTATCATCAACCAGATCTTATGTGACAAGGGTCTTAACTCTTGAAGCAGTATTTCAGATTTATCTCCCTTTGAACTTGGAATTTTCTCTAAGAAATATTATAACTTCTGAACTTTTTAGCTCACCTGTCACTTTGTGACAGGGTGAGCTTTTGTGATCACTTTTCGTCCGGTGTCCGTCCTGCCAGCATCTGTAAATTTTTACTTAAAATGATATCTCCTCATAAACCACTAAGCCAATTTCATCCAAACTTCACAGGAATGTTCCTTTGGTGGTCACCTTTGAAAATTGTTCAAAGAATTTAATTCCATGCAGAACTCTGGTTGCCATGGCAACCAAAAGAAAAAACTTAAAATGTCTTCTTCTAAAAAACCCAAAGAGCTAGAGCTTAGATATTTGGCATGAAACATCTTCTAGTGAATGTCTACCAAGTTTGTTCAAATAAAAGCCCTGGGGTCAAAATTGGCCCCGCCCCAGGGGGTCATTAATTTTCCCTATATGTATATAGTAAAAACTTTAAAAATCTTCTTTTAAAGAAACCAAAGAGCTAGAGCTAAGATATTTAGCATGAAACATGTTCTAATGGATGTCTACCAAGTTTGTTCAAATAAAAGCCCTGGGGTCAAAATTGGCCCCGCAGGGGGGAAATTGATTTTCCTTATATGTGTATAGCAAAAACTTAAAAATCTTCATGGAAAAAACCTGAATAGCTAGAGTTAAGATATTTAGCATGAAACATATTCTAGCGAGTGTCTTCAAATATTGTTCAAATAAAAGCCCTGGGGTCAAAACTGGTCCTGCCCCAGGGGTGTCATTGTTTTTAAATATATGTGTTAAGAAAAAACTTAAAAAATCTTCTTTTAAAAAACCCAACGAGCTAGACCTTAGATGTTTAGCATGAAACATCTTCTAATAAATGTCTACCAAGTTTGTTCAAATAAAAGCCCTTGGGGTTTAAACTGGCCCCGCTCTGGGGGGCCAATATACAGGTGAGCGACTTCAGGGCCATCATGGCCCTCTTGTTAAGGTATCTACTTCAAACTTCAAATATATATTTCTTATCATTACACACATAATGTGTGACATGGTCCATAACTCTAGTGTGACTATTTCCAAAAATTTTCCCCCTTGAAATTGGCATTTATGTTTACAACTATAACTTCTTGTTAATTAGTCTAACTTTCTCCTGTGACAGCTCTTGTTATGTTAATCACTGTTTAACAATCAGCTATAACTTTGCAATTAATGAAAGTATTGTCTTCCTACTAGTGCACCAGAGTCCTGGGGGCCGATTTAATTGAACTTGACCTTAATTTGACCTTGGCATTTAAGTTCAGATTAGTTGAATTTTGCTACAATTGGCTATTACTTTGTTATTTATCAACAGGTTTGATTTATACTTTGACAAAAAAAAGAAAAGAATAACAATGACAAAACCCATATGTTGAATAACTCAAATATGAACTTTATTTGCCATTTGTTTAAAGTGTCATAACTTGGTTATTTATTTACAGATTTGATACACACTTGGACGACAAAACAGATATGCTGAATTATTCTGATGACCTAGACCTTTAATTGACCTTGACCATCAAGGTCATCATTGAAACCTTTTTACATTGTCATAACTTTGTTATTTATTTACAGATTTTATTCAGACTTGAACTAAAGAGCACAATGACAAAACTGACATGTTACAAATTTTATTAGTCCCCTACCGGTTTAACCGGAGGGGACTTTAGGTTTACCCTCCGTCCGTCTGTCTGTCAGTCCGTCTGTCCACAAAACTGGATCCCGCGATAACGTAAAAAGTACTGAAAATATTTTTATGAAACTTGATATATGGATAGATGGCAGTATGGAGATTATGCACGTCTTTTTTTTTCTTCCTATGTTGAAAATTCTGGTTGCTTTGGCAACAAATAGTCTGAAAATATGGCAAATATAACACATAAACTGGATCCAGTGATAACTCAAAAAGTACTGAAAATATTTTTATGAAACTTGGCAACAAATAGCCTGAATTTC